CTGTGTCACCCGGCTGGCAGTTCTCATGCCAGTCACATTCGCTTTTGTTATGACTGTGATTTTTATTGGTAGAGCTGCAAGGGCCCAGCTGAAATCAAGGCCCCATGGCACTGCAGGCAGACGTCATAGGAATGGTAACAGCCCCTTCCCTAAAAGAGAGCAGTATCTGCATGTTTGTGTGGTAGCTGCACAGCTTCTCATGACCTTCCTAGATGTTTCTGTGCCACAAAGATTTCCCTATGTCAGCAATACTTCTGAGTTATTTGTTGAGATGGTCCTGTCCCACCCTGAGCAAGAGTTCTGTCTGTCACATGTAGCCAGGGAAGTAATGACTTATGCTACTTTGCGCTAGTTGTCCATTTTGGTGTTTTTGTGGCTTCCAGACCTCAGAATGTCTCTTTGTTTTGGAATTATTTAATGGGCATATTCCCTGTGTCAGATGAAGTCAAGGTTGTTCTGTTGTTCTTTGGCACAGCATTTCCTTGTTATCTGTCAGAATAGCTCTGTGATACCCATGGAGCATTTCTGTGTTTTGTGTTGAGGGTTTACTCTGAACATTCACTGTGTGTACTCCCTTGGCTGTCCCTTGGAGGAGAGATATTTCCTGTCACATGTGCAAGGCCTGATCACACTGACAGCAATGTGTGCCTTTGTGAGGGACAGAGTGATTGAGGCCATGGAGTGCCTCTCAAGCAGTTTGTTAAGATTCTTATGATTTAAAAGAGAGGTTTCCCTTCCACTAAAAGGGAACTGGGAAAGGGGATGATGCTTCTTCCTATTGGGTACACAGTTACCCACGTGGCATCCTCAGACTCATCCTGCAGCTGAAGTCTTCCTTTACTCCTTTGAACAGGACCCCTTCCAATATCTGCTTTCTTGGCAATATAAGCTTTTAGCACTGTTCTTCATCAGCTGAAGTGACTTGCCCACCACAGTGCCATTCCTCCTAGGATCTGACAGACTTTCCCAAATCAGATTTTCCCCATAAGCCCTTTCTTCACTAGCACCCTCAGCCCTCTGATGGACTCTATCTCTTCTCCAAAGTCCTCTCTGGTCTTTTCTGCCACCTTTGCTCATACCCACATGGCTGTCAGCTCTTATACTTTGTATATTACACTACTTGAAGCGTCTCCTGACAGTCCAGCTTACAGAGTCATACTCTTAGATGAGAATTCAACTTTGATCTAAAATCAGATATAAGTGTTTGGCCCTTGCAGTTTCAGAGAAAAAATGAAAACACATCCTCTGTAGGTTTTGACACCAGAAGACAAACACAGGGGACTTACAATCATTTGATTTTGAAGAAAATAAAATGATCTGCAACTGTGAATGTCTCAGCTTTAGCAACACAAGACATACAAACCTGTCTTTCAGGATCACCTCTGTGAAACCTCTGCTTCAAAAGTAAAATATATATGCACAATTCATATAATTGGTCTGTGAAGTTTGGGATTCATGCATTCTACCATTACTAAGCCAAATCCTACTGCAAGCTGTTTAGACAAGATCGGCATCGAGGTACCCTGCAGGCCTCTGTCAAAGTTTCCTTGCTTTTGCAGATTTTAAAGCATAGGCTAGGGCAGAGTGGCCCATCCCCCTCCTTCATCCCTCTCCCCTCCAGGAATTTCAACCTAAACTAAAGCATTGTCTTTTGCCTTACAACTTTTGTACCCCTCTCTATCCATTTGCTTGCTTTGATCATTCTTATTTCTTATTTAACCCCATTCTTTACCCTTCTCTTTCCCTCATCCTTCTCTTTCATTTCCTGTAGACTGTACAGATGCTCTCTCATCAGCTGGTCCTGGGTTTCCCAAATACACATACACGCTTATGTGTGCACATGCACACGCACACACTCTGACATAAATAAATAAATAAATAGAAAGGTCAGTGAGCAGAGCAGCAATAACCCCTAAAACAGTACTATCAGAGGGACATGATTGATCAATTGAATTCCATAGCAGCTCAAAAATGTGGGATTAAGTAGTGTATTATACGCACAATGAGTTGAGGCATGATGTTCATTTCAAGTTCATTTCGCCAGCCCTCTGCCACCAGATCAGGCAATCAATAGGGGCAGCAGATATCATATATCACCTCTCTCCGTGCTAGGCAGAGAGCACCATAATCTCCCGCAAATTTAGAGTGACAGATTTGTCAAGATCTGAAGGGCCCCTGAATAAATGAAGGAAAAGAGACTCTTACAGCGACTCAGGAAAGCTGTGATTTCAGCTTCTTCACACAAAGGCATGGCCTGTGCACACGCAGGAGACACATGTGCACAGGGCTCTGAAGGCAGACAGAATTGCAAATAGCTGTGCATGTGTGCACAAATCTGTGTAACCACTCAGGGCAACTCACTAAGGGTAAAATCTAGTTTAATGACAATCAGTGAAAGTTTTACTGTGCATCAGGCCACTCACACCAAACACCAGGTGGAGTTTAAGGCTGCCATCCTTGAAAATCAGGTATAGCCAAAACCAGCAGCCACAGGCAAATGCCTGGTCAGGTATGTACTGTGATGCAGAATCTAAAGAATAACAGAATAATTATCTACTGCAAAAATACCCATGTGTATTAGTGTCATGGTGTGTACAATCATACACACTGACTGACATGTGGAAAAATCCACAAAGACAAACAGCTTCACAGGTTGCAGACAGGTTCAGGCTGATACAGAAACATTTTTTTTTTCCTGAGTCTGGACTCAGGAGTTCTGTGCTAGCTTTCTGCAGGGAAGAACAGAGTTCTAGTCCTCCTGAAATTCAGCACCTGCAGAAACAGCCCAGTGTCATATAAAACATAAAAACTGTACTGACCCACACAGTGTGCAGTCCACCAAGCCTAATCCTTGCTTTGTTTTCTTAGTCAAATCTGTCATGAACTCCAGATTTCAGGAAATTTATAACTTTCTCTTGGGCAAATAAGCCTGGGGAGAGGAGAAAACTCCAGGGATCAGTGCCAGTAAACAGCCTTGCTCTGGCTTGTGGTGGAAAAGAAAGAGAGAAGAGGCTGTTTGAGGGAAGGCTGCTGGCAGGGACAAATCAATATGTAATATTTTCTATGGTCTTGTGAGTGGTACTGTACTACGCTACTGTATATAATGTACTATTGATTATATCATATCGTATAATCACCTATAAACGGATATATCTCATAGCCAGAACGCAGCAGGCTCAGTCATAACTCTGGGCCACCAGTTGGGCATTAACTGCGCCAGGAAAATACCATCCTGGCACTATCCATGAGCTAAAAGAGGAAGCAGTAGAATGGTATTGTTCTGGATGCTGCACAGTGAATGTCACTCCAGGCTCCTGGGAGCATCATGCGTCCATGAGCACCTCATGATTGCATGGAGGAAGGAAAAGGTCTATACAGAACCCTGGACCAATTTCCTGACAGCAGATTTCTGAGATTCACTGACTGGAGGCCACCAAGAAAGGCTTAAATATGAGGCATATTAGTGAAAAACCAGGAAGATAATTGCAGCACAAGAGGGAGAACCTGATCTTAGGTTAGTCTGGGTGATAAGGCAGGCCGACTTGTGTCTGATGAAGCACAGTAGGTAAGGATTCAGCATGGAGAGTATGGAGGTGTATCAGCATGGATGAAGGAGGGATTATTGCCAAAGTTAGGCTGAGATGTGACAGCAGAAAGATACTCAGCACAGTTGGAGGAGATTATAATGAGCAGACTTGCCTTAGATGAGATGAGGGATTATGACAGAGGAAGATTCACTTCAGCTGGGACAGGAGGTTATAACAGACAGACTCACCTTGGATATGACAGATGCTAATAGCAGGAGACTTACTCTAGATAAAAAGGGGTTATAACAGAGAAAAATGCACCTCATTTGAATTGGGGGATAACAGAGGGAAAAAAACAAACCAAACCCAGATAGGTGATCAGATGGTTTATCATAGGAAAAAAATCACTCTGGATGGGGCAGGGCATTTATAATGGATTCACAGCAGAGGGGATGAGTGAGCTGTAAGGGATGTAGGATGGCACAACAGAAAGAGAGACACCCTGGAGCATGGCAGAAGGCACTGCTGTGAGATTGGACTGTGTCAGAGGGCTGTTGTAGGGACAGAGATGCACTTCCAGGGAAGCTTCTACCAGAATGCAGCTATATTCCTAGTAAGAACAAAGTAGTACAAGGAAGGCTGAATCCCACTGAGCAGGTGGGAATTTTGTAATTCCCACCTAGGTTTTGTAATACAGTAATTCATTTTGGATAAGAAGGGAGACTGGCAGAGACAAAGAGTCATCTCATTTTGGAGGGAGTTTTATAACAGAGATATGGGTCATGATAAATCACAAGCTACACATAGGTGAATGGGACAGAAACCAACATATGTTGGAAGGGATAGCTGCCCTGCAGGGAGGGATTTGTCTCTGGTGAAACATGGAGTCAGAAACCAGATTTCCCTGTTATCTAAGGGGAATGAAAGGATATGATCAGATGAAATTAGAACAGTGATAGCAGCTCATAGGACTGGGGAGCTACAACAGAGACTGTCTCCCCTCCAAACTGCAAGAGAGCCTTTTTCCCATTGCAGGCTCCCTCAGTCCTCTCCACTACAGCCCATCCTCAGCACTCTTGTTTCTCTGTGAACTGCTTCTCCAGTGGTCTTCTAGCGATGCTAATCGCTGTGCTTTGCTCCCATTTTATGCTCGGCAGTGGAGATTTGGCAATTTTTAACACTGAAAATCAGCGGAACCGAAACTCATCTCTGAGCTAAGCACCATTCTCCACAGCCTCACTCATCCTGGGCAGGAGAATCCCACAGAACCCACCGGAGCAGCCTGGCCACTCCATCAGAGAGAAGGGGGCTCCTCTTGGACCCCTGCAGCCTCCTCTTCCCTCAGGAGTGGCACAGCTACCTGGGTGGAGGCACAGAGCCTCCCTCTTTCCTGCTCTGTTCTTGTCCTGCATCCATTACCCATCCAAGCCAGGGTGGTGCTAACTCCCTGTTTTCTCTGTCTGTGCCCTGCAGATGTATCCGAGGGCTCAGTTCCCAATGGAGATTCCCAGAGCAGCGTGGACAGTTTGCGGAAGCACCTTCGTGGCGACACTTTCACCCAGCAGCAGCTGGAAGCTTTAGATCGAGTTTTTGAGCGTCCTTCTTACCCTGACGTCTTTCAAACATCAGAGCACATCAAATCTGAGCAGGTGAGGGCCTGGCCTGGTAATGGGAACCCACAGGCACTGCGAGGATGATGGCAGGGAGATTCCCCTTCCAAAATCCCTCTCCTCCTCTCTGTCCCTTGTTCTCATGCTGACCTGTTATTGCACATACCTTTTACAGCCCTTTCTATTCATAACTGTATCACTGTGCTTATACACAAGCTTTACCTCTTCTGGTAAACTTGCCATAAATGTGCACACTGTGCTCTCCCTACATCCCCATGACCACTTTTCCCTCTGCACACAGACCTGTCTGTAGCTTGCCATGAACATGCCTACCCCCCATCTATCTTCACTGGCAGACAGCACTGCATAGAAACTCTTGCACCCTGAGATTACACTGGTGACCAGCGAGCCACAGGGTTGGGTTTAAATGGATCATTTTCCTTCATGGCCCAAAGCTGACACTCAACTCCTATCTCCAACATAGTTTTCCACACTTCTGCAGCTCTGCCCACCTTTTCTTTACTCCCCCGCGCTCCCAGCCTTTTATCCCAAAAGCTGTTTGTCTTAATAAAATGAAAATCAAAAGTCTTTTTAAACCGCCCCAAGCCATAAACCAACACAGGAAGAGAAGGAGAGGTTGGCTGTGGACTCCCTTCATCCCAGAGTCCCTGGGTTTATTACAATGAATAACCTTTATTTACTTTCATTAGACTATTAAGCACCAGCACAGTCATTTTTCCCCCTGAAACTCTGAGCAGGGCCCATAAAGCAAATCCAAAGCCTAATTGAGTTCATTTTAATTTCTCTCCGATCACAGCGAATTACTCTGGTGATAAATCAGGGGGCAGGCTCACCCCCAGTAGAAGGCCTAATTTGCAGCTAATTACAAAACTGATTTCTACAGGAAGATCAATACAAGAAGGAATTGGAAATGACTAGGCAGTCCTAGCCAAGCAGGGACAGGGGTGGGGAGGGGGCAGCATGCGTGGAACCTGCTGGAGGAGGGGAAGATGTGGGGAGGGGGTTGGGGAAGTGCATGGAAAAAAACAGAGGAGAAAGAGCAGAAAATCAGTTTTAATTTAACGTAATATTAATCAGAGCAACTTTTCCTGCTGTTTTGTAGCCTTCCTGGTTTCTCCAGCTCCCGCGTCTGGTCTGGAGGCTGCCACAATAAAAAGGCAATTACCAGAGGCTTTCGGACAGGACACCCTTTCAGATTCAATGGCTCTCCCCCTCCCACCCTTCTGTTAGCCATGTGGCTCCCCCCTCCCCAATTTCATACCCCAATGCACAGAGTGACAGAGGCAGGGGATGAGGCTTCTTTGTTTTTAAAAAGCTAGGACAGAGGTAACAGCGGAGGGGAGACAGGCGACCCAGGCAGAGACCCTGGTGACAGTGCACCAACACTGGCTGCTTCCTACAGCCTGCCTGTCCTAGTCATGTCATTGTAGTCCTATGCCCCAGCTGTCCTTGTCACCAGGGCAAACACCTCCCATCTCCACTCAGCCAAGAGGAGGGGATGTGGATTTCCCCCTTCTTTTCCCATGGGCTGGCACAGACAGCCACCCCCATCCCCACAGCATCAAATGAGGGCTCAGCCATACCACAGATAACAGGCCAGATCCCTCACCTCTCTTCCCCTTCACAGCATCAAGCAGGCAGGTGGGATAGTTCATCCTAGGATACCCCCTCCTCATCCCCCTCAACCTTCTTGTCACTTTATCTTCTCCATTTCCTCCTCCTCCTCCTCTTCCATCTGTGCAAGGGTTTGCATCTCTCCTCTTCCTCCCCCCCATCTGTGCACCCTTCCCTTTCTCCCATCACATCAATAGCGAGCTGTCTTTCTCCTCTCTTCCCCAGGGTAATGAGTACTCCCTCCCAGCTCTGACCCCTGGTCTCGATGAAGTCAAATCAAGTCTATCCACCTCTGCTAACCCAGACCTGGGGACAAATGTGTCAGGACCCCAGACGTACCCTGTGGTGACCGGTAAGCTGCCTGACCAAACAGCAGAACCAAGCTTTTTATTTATTTCCCTCATCACCATTAGCTTCTGCTTTTTCTGCTAATGCAAGATACCCCTCTGTGGCAAACAAGGAAAGAGACAGAAAGATTGTGGAGAACATGAGGGTTCAATAGAAGTTTGAAATTCAGAGTGTTGGCAGTTTTGAGTACACTTAGATGTGTCCAAGTATGACTCAAAAATAGGCAAACCCAGATGTGAATCACAAACCTGTGTGCCCAGATGGGGCTTAAGGTTGGGATGTTGGTGGAGAACAAATATGTCCAAATACACACTGATTTTTTTCCTTTGTATCTAAGAACAACGGGGTCATGACTTACCCATGATCTTCACTTGCTTTTCTTTTGGAGAAATAATAGTTTTATTCAGCCCTGGCATTTGGAAGGGGCATTTGCAAATTAAAAACTGAGATCTGCTGAACTGCAACTGCTAAACTCCCTCCTTCTTAAGTCCATGAGTCTCTTAGGAAAGCTGGCAAAAATATTTGTTCACAGCCTTTCCTCATGTGTGGGCACCTTAAACTCAAGTGTCTGGGAGAGTAGAAACTGTGAGCAAGCACATGAAAGCAGACAAATCAGGATGCAGAGAAATAGGAGCAAGCCCTGTAGCAGATGCTTCACTGAAACTTCCTTTTTGCTGGTAGCACATGCGGAACCTGAGTGGCACAGTTTAGCCTGAGGCCACGGGTCACTCCCACACTGTCCTGATACTGGTGTAGGCTGCCTGTCCTGCGTGTGTCTAGAGCCATAAGGAAATATTCTGGTGTCACAGCCCTTCTTCTCAAGGCCTTGGTTGCCATTGGTGGCTGCCTCTCCTTTTCCTTTTACAGCTACCACACTTGCACATCTCCTCCTGGGTAGATAAAGTGACTGCAAGGCTCAAGTGACTTGCCCCTGTTTGGAATATTCCCCTTTCTCGACAATTTTTGCAGCCCCTCTAGAAACCTCGTGGTAGAAGTTGAGAAACAACTCATGACAAAGGTCTAAGTCCTGTTAGTAAGGGAAGAAGCTTCTTGTCCCTTGACCAAAAAGGTGTCCTCTGATGGCACAGAATCAAGAGCATTGGAGTATGTATCTCTATTTTTGCTTGCAGAAGCCCCAGCTAATAGCTCCTGATGTCAGGGCAGCTCATGGCTGAGGCAGGCAGTCATTGCTTGTTCAGCAAACGTTGAGCAAAGGCATATTGTTGTATGCAACTTTTGGCTACCAAGAACTTTGGGATCAGGCAGGATTAGTAACAGTTAACTCAAACACAGAGGACATCCAGCATGTCTGCAAAATCTCATGGAGAGCATGGGAGATGAACTATATTATTCAGGAAATGTCTGGAAAGTATGACATCCCAGACCTTTTTCATGGCTTTTACAGCTATCAGGCTTGATTCAGAATCCTTGTAGACATGCAGTTTCTTAGCCAACCAGAAAAAAAAAAGGCTTAGCTGTGGCAAAAGTGTTCTACCTTTCTTTGTATTTGCAAAACTCAGCTGTCATTCATCTACTGTTTAGCAGATTCACATCTCTTACAGGAAATATCTTCTTGTCTTTGAGGGGCAAAGCCAGTAGGAGAGCAAGGCAAATCCCCACAGCTAAATGTAGAGATGTACACAGCTAAATGTAAAGATGGTGTGTCTACAATCAGTTTAAGATTCAAAGAAGCCATGAAAATAGTTCTTTTTAGTCCTTTTGCCTAAGTGAAGATGGTGCATTCTAGCTTGTCAATGTGAGAGGAGGCTTCCTGAAGGCTGGGACACTAAACAAGCCTTAGACATGACTCTCACAAGGGCACAGCATGAGGCAGATTTGCTCTCACAGAAGAGACCGTAGGCTGAGGAAAAAAAAATTCCTCAGGTCCCTCCCACCCTGTGCTACCCCTACTCTGTTCCCTGCCACACTCCCAGCTCAGCTTGAGAACATCCCCATCTGATCCATCTGGATCCAAGAGTGAGAAAAGTTCATTTCAGACCCAGCTTGACATTCCCAGGTGGCAACTTAGCACTAACATCTCAATCTGTATGCGACATTTCAATCAGTACAGAGTAACAAAAGCAGAACTATTAGCACTGGGAGCTGTTCACTGGTGGTAATGATGGAGAAACTCAGAAACTGGAAATGAAAAGGGGAAGAAAAAGCCCCTCAACAACCTGAAAGGCATCAAGGGAAGAGGGGTGGAGAATTTTTCCTGTACACTTAGGCCAGGATCCAATGTTTGGATTAATGGTGCCATTACCCAAGAAAGGACTTCAGATAATGTTCATTCTTAAAATGTTTTTGCTGGCAATTAAATGGTTGCAGGTATTGATCTTCATTGATCTGATGTTCTCAATCTGCATAATCTATTAAAGATGAATGATTCATGATATGTTTGCTATGGGGCTGGGCAATGCTTTCAGGAAGGAGCAGAGATGTGAGGAACTCAGTCCTGCCCCCTGATCTACCCCAGCTAGAAAATTAAGGAAGAGGCATGCGGATTTCTTTGGTATCACCCAGCTCCTGATCCCAGGAAGGGATATTGGAGTAATAGTGAGGTTTTTTGCTGGGTGCCTCTTTTGCTGCTATGGTATTATCCTTGAAATGCCTCACAAAATGTCCAGGGCAGTCTGTGAATTCAGGTGATACCTGACACCTGAACTCACATTTTCACATTATGAAACAAACCTACCCATGCAGGGTACAAATTCTGTGTGGAGTCACTTCACAATGTGAGACTTAGAGCTTCAGTCTGCAGGCAAGTCTTCCCAGCTTAGTCTTCCCAAACAGAAAAACATAGTACTAGGTCTTTCCACACCATAGCTGTATGATACCAGATCATACAGTCTTCAGAAGGTCTTCCTTTCTGAAGACTTCAGAGAAAGTCCTTTTTTCTGGCTCATGATTAACTGTCCTCAGCAAGCTCTTTCAGCTCACATCATTCTGAGACCTCACCCCTCCAAAAGGCATCAAACCCTCAACAATCTGTAGCTACCTAAAATCTTGAAATGTAGTGAGACAGTTAAGGAATGGTGTTGCTGAAGTCCCTTTATCTGTCTGGGAGCTTCTTGGAACTGAAGAGCTGGAAATGCTGCAAAACAGGCAGCCACCTCTTCAGCTGGCCAGAAGGCCCTCCCCAAAGCCCTGGGTATCTGTTCAAAGACACAGCTTAGCACCACAGCTGTGTACAGCCCAGCCTTGCCTAGTACTGCCAATATCAAACACTCCCTTTCAGACAATTATTCTATTAACATATCTTAGCTGGCTCATTTATTACTCAAATATCTGAAAGCAAGTAAACAAAACCATTTTTTACTATGGAGCAAACAGGTCATCGCTATCTCTCCCTGTTAAGTATGTTCAAGGAATGTCCATGAATGAGCTGTCACTTAGTGACTTGCTGGACACTAGGCTAGGAAACCTACCCTGCTGTCCTTCATATGGAACAGACAATGCAGAAATTTTCAACTGCATTGTGAACATTCAGAGAGAGAAAAAAGTTCATGGATTTTACCTTCCTCCAGACCTCCCCTCTCTGGCATACAATGAGGGTTTTTTCAGTTTATTTTTTAATTCAGATATGAATGTATGCAAAAAATGTTGGAATTACTGAAAAAAAAAGGATTCTTGCTATACCTGAAAGACATAAAGTAGTATTCACACAGAATCTGATTTTCAGGAAAGCAGTGATGCTAATCATGGGGAAATTGCTGGCTAGACAGTTGGAAAGATTTTCTGAAATGCTAAACAATCCTTCGAGAACTTTAGCCTCCCGCAGATGTTATTTCCCTAATTTCAGATTAGCGAGTGAACCAAAGAGAATTCTGTTCAGTTCAATATCTGGTCATTTAAAATGAAGAAACAAACTCAGATTTGAAAAAGCAGGAACATTTGTTTTCCTCAAAGTAAGTGAATTAGAGTTGGTAGGAAAGAATGAAATCTATTCTTTTTAAAATATGGTTCTTAAACCAATCCAAATTCCTTCTTATCTTATTAGCTATCCTTCCCTCCAGTTAATAAATAATTTTTTAATGCAAAACCTGCTTAGAAAAGCTTGCTTTTTCTGTTCTAATATATTTAGGAAGTCAGGGAACTTATGGTCATTTTATTTAATTAGCATGAATAATTACAAATACTGTTTTTAATTTAATTCTAATTTCCATACAAATATAACTTGACACAGATAACAAGTAAAAAGTTAATAATCTAATAAAATAATAATATGGACTCATCGTTCACTATTTTGCCATGTAATAATATGTGAAGACAAATTATATTAAACAACATAATTGCTTAAATAAATGTGCACATGATGTAGTTCATCTACTTAGCAAAAACTGAAATAACTATGTTTAGGGTGAATTTTTAATTTGTCAAAATATTTGTTACCTCCCATAAAATTCAAGCTTGTAGCGAACAGCCTCACAGTGGAAATGTAAAACAAGTTGATCCAATTTGCTGTTTTAAATAATGACTAAAATTGACCATTACATTCAGTGGCACTTGTAACATTACAGTGAGAGGGGAAGTATTTTCTTCTCCTTTTCTTTGTTTTACTGGTGAAAAATTCCTGCCTTACTCCAGTCCACTTTAGCCTCTGATACCAGCAAGCAATGGCCCTGGTCAGGGCTTGACTCATCTGACTTAAATAACCTGCATAGCAAACAGCTGGGGGGCCCAAGGTGGCTTTGGTGACGGCAGATCCCAGATGCTGACCCCACCCAGCAGCCCGGCTGCAGTCAGCTCTGGGTGCTCCAATGCCCTGAAAATGGAATTTGATTATCAATCATGCATCTACTACAAGGTTGTTACTACCCTACCTCGCTAAAATGAAGGTAGTACTTTCTGTGAGCAAGACTGTCAAATTGAAGATGAGGAACTGGCCAAAGCAGAAGTCCACAGGACCTCCAAGTTTAATCTGCCATTTCCCTTCTTTAAGAAGAGATAGCATCTTCTTATCTAGTCAAGGAATTTGTAAAAGCAAAAGGTGTTACTATTCTTTTCTGGGACCAAATGGCTCAGAGTGATAGATGGTCAGATGAATGATCCCTGAAACAGACAGGAACAGGGGTGATGGGGAAGGAATCACATAAACTATTTATATGCATTCAGTGGAATTTTCACTGACAGTAACTTTATGATGTTGAAAAAAGCAGCTGGTGGGCTTTAAAGGCATATTCAACTGAAGAACATAGAAATGGATGGGCCTAAAAGAAATAATATCTTTGCTTTCCTTAAATTAGCATTTAAGTGGACAATAGCAGTGAGTGAAAATAATGTCATATAATGACAATAGCAGTGAATTGGCATTCCCAGTCCAATTTTCTTCAGCAAGAGGCAGCATTGCAGGCTGCCACACTCTATGCTGCTGGACAAAAGGGGACTTTTTTAGAGAAAATAATTGTATTATATTGTCTTTCCAGCAATTTAAGTTTTGCCTTTTCTTCTGAAGTTAAATGAAGGATCCAATGAGTACGATTTTGATAAAAATTCTTGCGATGTATACATTTGCCCAGTGTAGCAAGACTGTGCTTTACACCTGATTTAAGCAGACATTAATAACTTTTGGTGTCTGTCAACTGTACTGGATTCATCAGGCTCACTTTTTGTACAACCAGAATTGCCCACTGCAGTCTTTCAGAGAAATTGAAAGCTTAGAGTAATCTTTGTTCCATCTTTTTAAGTTTACCACTGCTGTGGGCTACCCAGGAAGATATATCCTATCTTGTGATCAGTAAAATACCATTATGATGGAACCTTGGAGTTATCTATAATGAGGACTGTATGAAAAACTAACAGGTTTTGCATTGCCCAGTATATATTTCAAAAGCATTTTGTTTAAGAGGCAACACTCAAGTCACAAAACAGCAAGGAATAAACACATGCTACATTTCAAGACAGGTAGAAATTGCCAGATCCAATGGGCTGGGACTCAAGAAAGGCAACAATATAAACTCCACTGAACTTCTCTGTTTGTCAAGTCCACAAGTTGCACGCATATCTTTCTCCCCTCCACCCAGGACTTCAAAGCATATCTTTCCTCTTCAGCTCCATCTTTATACAAATGTACTGAGAGCCACATGAAATAGGCTCCAGTAGAGTTCCCAAGTGATTAGGATTCAAGTAGCTTCAAAGAGTAAGTCCAGATCACAGGACTACTGGAAGCTCCGTGTTTTACTCCATATGAAGGGTATACAATTTTCTCTTCAAAGTAATATACAGAGTTAGCATGTCAGTTTACTTGGAAAGCAGCAGTTGATCAGATCAGACTAGATATAAAATCTAGATTTATAATATTCAGTTTAATGAAAAAATACAGAAAATACATTACAAAATTTGACGTGGGATGTGATGTCACAACAGCATTGACTCTTAGGGGAAAGCAGCCCAAGGTTGTTAAGAGCATGGGTGAATGTGTGCACAAACAGAAAAAAATCTGAAAGGCACACTCTCCAGTCAGTAGGAAGACAAGAAAGGTACAACAAGAAGCAGGTTAATCATAGGACACCTATAAGTTCTTCTAGCAAGGATCTGTTATGATCAGAGAAGAGAAAAAACACTGTGCAACTTGAAAAATGCTCTCACAACAGAAAACCTAGGAAACTAAGAATAGGAAAAGTGGTTATTCTGATATGACAGTAAGCAAAAGGAACAGTATGCTGTGTGAGTCCTGTCTGGTCTTCTGTATGGCTTTTGGAATTTGAGGCAAGATCACCACAAGGGAGAAAGTGATGTAGCTCCACTGCCTATAGTGTAAACTTACCAGTCTATGAGTTCTGAGGACCCAGTCCCTTTCTGTTTACCACAATGAAACTCTTCTTAGGAATAGAGAACACAAATACAGAAAAAGACATTTCAGAGGTGGGTACAAGGATAGAATTCAAAACACCTGAGATAAGATTCAGCTTTGGCACAGGGCCCCTACACAAATTTGAGTATTCTTCTCTGGGCTCAGTTCCTCACAGATAAAAGAGTGATCCCTAAGCAATGCTGTAAAGATATGTGTTGTGAAGGGTGGGGCACTGGGGTCATACAAATATTTGATAGAGACCTCAGGAAAAGACAAAAAACAGGAAACATTGCCAAGATGGTAAGCAGGGTTAAATGGGTGTGTGAGAGCTATCCCTCATGAATGGATGTGCCATCTTGGTATTCTTTGTGTACTATAAAGGAAAGGAGCACTGGATGCAGATAGCTTATCCTCCAGGAAAACAGCAATGAAAAACAAGCAGCTCATGTAGTCCTGCAACCAACCCCCACCCCATTTCCCTTGCCTTCAGCAGGAGAGAACATGATAAAAGCTGAGATGAGTCTCCATAGGAACCCAAAGCTGTGAATCTTCCTCTCACTCTGTCTGGCCAAAATCCCTTCATTCACAGTAGGAATTTAGGCTAGAGATCACCAGTTCTTGCTCTCCACCAAAATAACAGAAGAGAGGGCCAGAATGGAATAACATAACTCAGAAAATGGTTGAAAACTCAGAAAACAGTCAGAAAGAGAGGAGTAGGTGATTCACAAAATGTTGCCCTCTGCTATGTTTCCAGCTATATCCCCACCCTGATGAGTTTCAAGTTTCCCCCACCACGACAGTGGGTGATACTTTTTTTGCCACCTATAAACAAGGATATTGCCTTTTAGAAGAATAAAGGAGATTGGGGCAGGAATATATTTCTGCTGATTTGGAAAGGGGTTGCAAACTCATTCCCCTCCACTCTCCTCCCATTTGATTTCAGGTTGGTATTCCAGCCCTAGGAGAAAGATATACCTTGGGATTCACTGAAGGAGCCTTACTAAGAAACATTCCCAACAAAACATAGACAAACCAAAATTGCACTGCTCCACAGCTTGCTGGCAGTAGTGGTACTAGGGATAGGCAGAGGCAACTTCTCCATCACAAATATGAAAGAATTAGAGAATGGAGAAAATCAAAATTGAAAACATAAAAGATGCAGCTGAAGTTTGAGGTGGTTAAAATGAAAAATGAGACTGTGCCATTCACAGGTGGATAGATAGATCAATCAATTGATTTCATATACAGTGACATGCTTTGGAGCTATAATTCACTACTGGGGCAATTATTCCAGCATAGCAGTGGCAGGAGTTATACCAGAGACAGAATTCAGGTGCTTTTAGTCAGTGGAGAGTTGGACAACAAAGGAGTAAAAAATGGTAAATGCCATCCATCAGTAAAGATACATGTGATATAAATTATGTCTGTGCAGTTGCAGAGTGTAGAGGGAAAGACAGACAGATAAATAGACACATATAAGTCTGAGTTTTAGTTGTGCAATCATTCGCTGTCTGACCTTATCCTCGCCTCCTTTCCACTATTAGAGAGAAGAGTGTTTAGCACTATTGTGTTCAAGTCTCTTTGCCATGTTACTGTTGACTTCTTTATCCCCCCACACACTGAGTAAATGGCGATGGCTCTGGAAGGTGCAAGGAATTTTTCTTCATAAGCCTTGATGTGTTCAAGAGAGGGCTGGGCTCATCTCCGCTGTGAGTCTGACAGGGGTTTTAACAGCCTCACAACATTGGGACAAATAGCTCCTGGTCCCTTAACCCTTCCCAGCTTTGCAAGGCAAGGCCTAGCACTGTTATTCCCATTGCAAGGGCTTTACACAGTCTTTCAGGCTGAAATCCTCTCTGTGGTAGCTGGGCAGAGCGGAAATCCAGGGGCTGGATCAGATTGGCCTAATGCTACAGCAGCTTAAGCGGTCTGTTTTACCAGAGATTATGGTTTCACTTACACAGAGCGCCTGAAAAATGCTGCGGTTTAGGAAGGATTATAGCTGAAAATTCCATGCTTTAAAAGAGAAATAAAGCAGGGGAGGGACTAGGAAACCCAACGTGCCTGGGGGCTGTGCAAACAGGATTAACCCCTGCCCATAGCACCTCTTGCTTCTGCCCACCCACGCTTCCATGTCCACCTTATTCTCTGCCCTTTCCTCCTCAGCAGTTCCCCACACCTGTTGTCTCTTGTATAATAAAAAGAGTTGAAATAAGAGTGTGGAAAATGCCCAGGACTGAAGTGTCCCCAGTTTATTTACGTATCACTGTCAAATGACTTCCTTGAAAAATACCCCTTTACTCGCAGCCTGTGAAAGCCCAGGGAACTTTTGGACCTCTGCCTGCAGATAGGTCTAGTCATCCAAATTATCTTGTATCAACATTATTTGGATAAAGGCTTCAAGCACTCCCAGAATGCTGGTGGTGACTCTGCCTCTTTGGTCTGAAAGTAAATCTGTGCATTCCTTGCCTTGCAGAGAACAGAGGATACAGGAGCAAAATAGCTTGGGGGGGTTCTTGATCTACAGAGACTGGCTCTGGCACATGAAGGCTCACTAGTGGGACAAGTAGGACAGTGTATGGTTGTAAGGCAGAAGCTGGGTGCTGATGGGCTGCCTATTCTGGGGACTTTAATTAAAATAAAATAAAATCCTGTAAAATAAAATCCAGATACTCCAAGTTCCGTTCCCCATATCCTCCACAAAAGGTCCTTGGCAAACAGAGCTTTGTACCAAAAAGGGAAAAGAAATGATGATGCTCACTTAGCGTACCAGTGACTTGACTTAGTAAACTAAGTGAGGACGAAGTGTATCCCTCTTGGCCAGGACTGATCCTTCCTAACTAATTGAAACATGAGCGTATGTCTTTGCTGCAAAGAAATCTTGGTGATGAGAGACCTTTGCTGGCCACCCATGTTAGAAGTACTTGGAGTAGAACACAGATGGCAAACTATCATTTTTGCCAGGAAGCAAATCTTTAGGAAACAAATATCTCAGGGTAAACAGCATTCACAGAGAGAAATTGCCCAGCCCTTTATTGTCTAGGTGAGCACTACAGCCTCACAACAAGGTGCCTAAAGTTAATTAAGCCAGGTCTATATTAATGAAGTCAGATTTATGTCCTAATTATATGTCACATTTCTATTTCTCTGTATAAATCAAAACCACCAGAACTAAATTATTTCATAGGCCATTGGCAATGGTTGCCATCACAGCGGATGCTTTGGTAGATAATTTGGATTGGATCTGATTCATATCATCCATGCTTTGCTTTCAGGTGTCCAAATACATGACTCTATTACTACTGACCCAACAGCAGTGGGTGTTCTGGAGTACTCATGCTTTAGGTCACAGAGTTCTTCAATTCCCAAACATCCTACTCGGCAGCCAAGTTAGGAACAGTGACAAAGCTCAATCGATCAGAAATGGAGGCCCAATGCAAACAACAATGAAAATTAGATCTTTTACAAGTCCCCTACATTTCCTCTCTTCCATTATGTCTCTCTGTCAAGGTATCTATCTGGCAAAACTACACTCTGGGAACAATCAGAGTCAGTCTTGACTGTTTTTATGATTAAATCTCCAAAATGTGCCACTGTGAACAAGATCAATTGATTGATCCATCTGTCTATCCACCTATTAATTGCACAGTTCCATTTGTATTTTAACCTCAAACTCCAGCTATACCATTTTTGTCAAGCTTTTATGAAATTTGGGTAGAGAAGCTTTGGCCATTACACCCAGCAATCGGTTTAATAGATGCTTATAGCAAGGCTACTCTTCCTGAGGAAGGTAATCTTGAGTTTGAAGAGAAAAAGTGGTGCAATTCCTTGGACCCAAACTGTGTAAGCGTAGCATCTTCATATGCCTTTGGCCAGCAAAAAAAAAAAGCAGCAGGAAAGGGAGCACAAAAGCTTCAGAGCATTCTTCTTCCCAATCCTATGCTTGTTCCTGTCCTCCCTCTCCTGCATGTTCCCTCCCTCACCTCCTTCTTTTCTTGCCTCCCATTCCTCCCCTCTGCCACTGCACTCCATTCCCCTCATCTCCTGCTGCTCTGGGGAGGCATTCCTGCAGTCTGAGCCTAGCCCCCAGGCACATTTACTGCTGTTGTCTCAGCACTGGCTCCTCTGCTCTACTCCTAGCCTTTTTATTTTTATTTTTGTTTTAAAATTAATTTCCCTGTAGATTTTAACCACTCCATTTTCATTTACCCATTTTGTTCTTCCTCTCCTCCCTTCCCCACCCTCCTCTTCCTTCCCCTGTTCCCTTTGTCTGTCTGTGTCCATCCCTTACCCTACCACAGAAAACCTCTCCTCTCCCCTCAGTATAAAGCAAGAGCCTCATGGAGCCTCTCTCACCCCTTTCACCCCCACCACGCCGGTCGGCTCTGGGCAGGCTGATCTTCAGCCCTTCCACATGGCCCTTTCAGACGATGCGTCCACGCCTTGCTACAGTGCCTTCCTTCATCATGGTGCCCACTTTGGGCAGTCCAGCAGCCAGCCTCTGATAGCAGGTAACCGGCCTTGGCCACAAACTGAGCGGGGATGCTGTAGGCAAGGGGTTCAGTTTCATCTGATGGGGAGGCAAGTAAATGCTGCAAGCTCTTTGAGTGCAAGTGGGAACCAGAGCAACCATGCACCAGGTCTGCATCTGCAGTGTATGTTCTCAGCTCCATGAAAAATCAAAAAGTTTTCATGCCTGTCCTTCTTTTTAAAATAAAATGGGAAAAGAAGCTGTAACTACCTAGAAGTGACTGGGTGTCCCAATTGGATTGGGTTTGGGACTTAGCATAGAAACATTCATACAGCAAAATCCAGTGTTGACTCAATAGCCATGAGTAGGCATGTACTGCAGGCACAATACAGTGTGCTAGCCCGAGGCAGATGACAGCAGCGTCAAGATTCCAGCCAGCTCTAGGCCTGCCTGGGTTGTTCAGCACGGGTTGCAGATACTAAGTCAAATAGACACGGGCAGGTGGTGAGCACTGCCATAGCTGTGCTGTGAGCAGTGTTTGAGTCACCTGATTTGGGAGTGTCAATGTGAGCTGGTGCCTTCACACAGCAGATCAAGCAGTTAAGAAACCCAGCATCATGTCTGAACGTCAAGAGCAGGAAGGATGGGTGAAAGACTGTGTTTTACAGCCAAAGGAATACAGAGCTGAGGTAGCCTTTAAGGGAAGAGCAGGTGGCCCTTAAGGGAAAAGCAGAAGTGAAGAAATAGGTTGCAGAAGATGGCAGCATTTATGAGCAGCAGGCAGGAGGGAAAGATGAGGAGGAAGGTCAAGTTTCAGGTAGGTACTAAGGGAAACTCCTGAGCAAGGTGACAGAAGCAACATTGCTGCAGAATCTCAGGGGTGACTTGGGTGAAATAGTGGGTATCGTCTTGGGTGACCACTGACTATTTTTCAAACAATGTAATCTGGGCTTTTTCCGAAAAGATAAGACTTAGTGCAGACCACACTAATACTCAAGAAACTATCTTCTTCCTAACACTCAAGAAACGTGTTTCTTACTTCTGCCTTCTTCATGTTCCTATATTATTTTTCTCTTTTGACTTAATATCCTTCCTTTGTCTTGTCATGTCAGATTTCCATTTCTAAACCTCCATGTACGAAAACAGCAAGTAAGAAGGCTTGAGTTCATAAGACCATCTTGGTCCTACCTTACTGCAGCCAGTAGGAGCCTCTGAGTTCTGGACACTTCCTAAGCCAAGAAATGGCTTCAAAGTAGAGATCTATCTGGGGATACTGTTATATATGACCATCTTCTAGCCTAGAAGGCTCTGTGTTTCTTGAGAGGCACATGCCTTAAGACTCTTAGAAGGAATTAGACTTGGAACAAAAATGTTCAAAAGCGCAGTGTCACAGTGATTCAAGTGCTGTTCCTCACTCAGAAAGTTCTTGCAGGAAGAAGAATGGCTGCAGTTGGAAGCATGTTATGAGCTAGCTTTGCCATAGCCCTGCAGTACAAGAATTTAATAATCCTGTCTACCTGTTTGTAATGAGAGAAGGTTATGGAAGGGGCCTGTTTGCATGTAACAGCATTTGAGGAGTTTCTCTGTGGGAGTCTTACTGATGTTACTGATACAGTACTTGTTTGTTATCTTCTTTTTCAAGACTGGGATTCTGACAAATGATCACTTCCCAACAAATTTTCCATGCTCAGTTTTGAACATCAACCTCTGTGTGCTCATGTCTGAATAAAAACACAGGGCATATGTGCACACATCAAGTAGCAGAGTGAGTGTATATGTGATCCCACCTGAATGAAAGTGTCAAAATGAATTTATTTTGCCTGCAGCTAGATAATGTTATCTCTAACTTTTCAGTGACACTGTTTTCTCACTCATCACTTGTTATTTCTCAGGTTAGTCAATAAATGAAACTAAAAGAACAAGATTTTTAAGCATAAAAGTTTCTTGCCTTAAACCAAAGTGAGAAAAATATGACTATATCTACTAGGTGTTATTCATACAGTTTAACATACAGCAACAAGTCACTAAAGGAATGATGGCGATAAAAGAGTAAAAGAGTGTAGAATATTAATCCCTGATACATTATGTATTTATTTTTATCAGTATTGGGGAGTGGCTGGAAAATGGCTTAGCGGTTGTCTAAGAGGACATAAACTATGCCCTTCAGCCACTGATAGGGAACCTCTTCTGGAAAAAAGAATGAACTTGCATTTCTGTTTTCTTGAGTAAATCACCTCAGTAATCCTTACTCAAAACTGTGAAAGCAATGGCACTGGTTTAGCCTACCTCATCCCAGAGAAACTTCCTCCCTTCAGGTTAATGTTCCATGCTTATTAGTTTTTGCTTTGCCTTGTAACTGTTAATTATTTCTGATTCCCTAGCCAAGGTTCATGCTTGTTCCAGGGCCTGCTTTTATCAGTTATCATTCTGCCGGTAGTAGAGCTAACCAAACACTTCTTCTTTCATTGGCATATCCCAGCATGGTTCCTGTGACTCCAGTGGTGTTAATGGGCTTTACTTAGCCTGACACTCCTAAAGGTGAATCAGACTCTTGCCAGGAGAGACAAAATTTAACAAAAGAATAATAGCACAAACTTCTTGGTGAGCTATAGTTCACCTAGGGAATGTGAAAGGCTTTTGATGCCTGGAACAGGCTGACATCTCAGTAGGCAGTGCTGGAGGTTGAGCTGTAAATCTCTCAGCAGCTGTGGGGGAAAGATTATCTTAATTTATTTAGCTTTTTGTTTTGTTTTATTTTTCTTTGTTTGTTTTGTTTTGCTTTGGCTTGAAACTCCCAGCAGCTTCTGAGATTATTTTAGTTCATTTAAATGCAATAAGCACTAACAGCAAATGCCCTTCTGGCTGGCCCATTTTCAGGCTAACCAGTCCAAATGAGGAAATGCCTCTGGCATCAACCAAGAAACCCCCAGCTGCACTTCCTAGAGAGGAAAAATAATCTACAATCATACACCAAATCCACACCCCTCTCTGCTTCTTTGGTGATGAAAAGTTATCACAACTTAAAGTATTATAAACAAAAACACTTGTACCTGCGATAAAAATGAAGTGAGACTCAAACTAATTTGCATGATCCTATTATTACATATAGTACACCAACATCTGGAAGGAGTCCAACCATTATTGGTCTCATGTTAAGCACTGTGCAAATGTACTAAAAGTGTGCTCTTGCACCAAAGAGTTTGCAGCACAAAAAGAAGCACAGAGAGGTAAAGTGACTTGCCTAAAACCATATGCAGGTGAATTACAAAGGTGGGAAGAGAGACAGGCACAGAAAACTCTTGGATCACTTCCCAGTGCCTTGCACATTGATCATGCCCTAAAGCAACATCACCACAGTTTTGGAACCGCATCCACTGCATATAGACAGGACCTCAGCTACTTTGGCAATGAATATGCTGCCACTCTCTGTGCAGATCAAGGCCATTTTGATTTAGTTAAAATAGATCCAAAATCAAACCAAATTCTTTTGAGCCTCATCAAAGCTAAGTTTTTACATCCATCCTTACAGTGGGAGATCAAAAGTGCCCCAATCTTCACCCAAAATTTTCAGTGAGCAGACAGAACTCATGTAAGAGAAGGCTGTGCAGCAGTTGCCTATCAAGTCATGTGACAGTGGGACAAGAGATGATACCAAATCAATATTGAAAGATCTTATCTGTATTGATCACCTGTCCTGATTCTCTCTCTTTTCAGGTCGTGATATGGCAAGCACCACCTTGCCTGGCTACCCACCCCATGTTCCCCCAACTGGACAAGGCAGCTACCCAACATCAACTCTTGCAGGAATGGTTCCTGGTAAGTCAGCTGCCAGCCCTCAGTAATGGTGCACACATGTCTGAACGCTTACCAGCATTGTGAGAGCTTTCACAGCTGGCTTGGCTATTGCTTTGCTGACATGAAGAGCTATTCTTTTATAAAGAAACCATCAGGAGCCTATAACCAATGTAGCTAACCCTTTTTGTAATGTATCTCTTTCTCCCTAGTAACTGATTCACTGCTGCTATGGGCAGCTAGCTAGCTATAACCTGTGGCAATTAATTGGTAATTAATTAACCCTAGTATTCATTAACTAATGTAATTATTTTCCAATGACCCATGCAGATTATTATGTACTGCTCCTGGCTCAAGACACTCACCTATCCACTAACTAAGGGTGACAACTCACCTTTTGTCTAAATCCAGGGCCATCAAGATGAAAATTATCAATGGCAATTTAATACCTACAGTATTTGAAGACCTACTGTCTATATAGCCTAAACTTACTAAGAACTCAGAAATTATTAACATCATTTCATGAGAAACTAACTATTCACTCTTAGCAACCAACTACTTAACCACCTCCTGTTTGTAAAATAGTGCCTCCAGTCCAGGAAATTACCAACCTAATCCTACATCCAAAGACAAACTTTCTTTGATACCCAATGCTTTGGAGAAATACCTTATCTCAGCATTTGGATTCTCCCACTCTTTCAGAAGAAGAGAGAACCATTTACTCTAGGACAATTGAGGAGTTTATTACCTCAGGCTCTATTACCCACTCTCCTCTGATGACAGTTGTCCCCAGTAGATAAATGAAGAGGCAGGATTTTTCTCAGACATGGTAGTTCCAAACTCAGAACTCATCTGCCACTGATTTCTGCTTTTCATGGCCCATGGCTGTGAGTTGTGTGATTAAGGGGCAGGTACACAGCCATTCTGCAGCCTCTGCTTCTGAAGGGATGAGTCCAGAACTAAAGCAGCAACAAGTTGAGGACAGAAAGCTCTTAAACTATCATATGATTTGCCAGGTCTTATGAGTGGAAAGCCTAACTTAACTCTGACCCAGACCTCAGAACAGATAGCTAAATGAACATTAACATCAGTGAGGACAGTGAAAATATAACTCTTAGGAAATGTTTTCAGGTCAAAGTCTTAACATCTTAAAGTGACAAATCATAGAACTGCCTGAGTTGAAAGGGACCTTAAAGGTCACCTAGTTCCAACCACCCTGTCATCGGTGGACATCTTTAGGGGATGTGCAAAGCCCCATCCAGCCTGACCTTAAACACTTTCAGGGACTGGGTATCCACAACTACTCTGGGCAACCTATTCCGGGGGCAAATTTTAGGGATGTCCTACACTAAATTATTCAGGAAGGATTCATTATCCAGAATCAGACATGCACTAAGACAACATAAGATCAATTAACACCCCACACACAACTCCGCCCAGTAACAGTAGGTAAAATCAGTTGACAATATTTAGATCATTTCTGGTCAAAACTTATAAGAGGTCACAGCATATGGAAATTATTAATAATATCAAAATAGCTGGCTCTTTGAGTAGAAACCGTTCAGTGATTACTATGTAAGTTTAGTGTCATCATTACAAGGATGATACTGACTCCTAAACTGGGACATAATTTTTGAGACCACTAATATCAGGGGTCACTTATCCAAGAATAAGGTATTTCAGCTCCTTAATGTGGAGGCTGCATATAAGATAGTAGTGTCCCCAAAAAAAAGGCAACCCAGAAATATTCCCCAAAACAAAATGAATAGAATTATACAGAAAAAAAAAGTTAAGTTATACTTCAAAGTTAAAAAAACCTATTCTGGTCAAATGGATATCTTCACATTAAATCTGATGTCAACATTTAATCAGAGGGAGTTTTTCCAGTGGCCTGCTTGAGCATCCTGCAGTAGTTACTGCATATTTCAACAGAGCATCAGGTTCTGGCTGTTTCAGTCATACCCCACTGGTCAGACCCAGCCAGGAAGCCCTTTTCTTCCTGTTTTCTAGTGTGACTGAAGCCAACAAGATGGAGATAAAGAGGCTTCCTGGGAAGAAACAGAAGATTTTCCTTTAATGGGTCACTCTGCAGACCTCTGCAGCCACTACTTTGTGTCAGGGGCCAACAGGGGAAATATGGGGAAGGGTGTAAAAGTAGAGCAAGTATGTATTGGTACTTTCTTGAAATATCTCCAAGCCTCCATGTTGCAGCTAAGAAATTTTTTAAGCCAGACATCTTTCTATTTAATATTAAACCCTTGATAGGTTTTCCATCTACAAATGTAAAAAATGTCTCCTGAGCCCATATAAGCCTTTAACATGCACAGAAATCTTTTGCAAAAAGTTCTATAGCTAAACTACATATTTTGTGAAAACTATATCCCTTATTTTTTCTGAGCCTGCCACCTGCTAGGCTCACTTCATGCCTCATCATTTCTGTATTAGAAGACTAAACCATTAAGATTTAAATACAGATGCCAAGAAATAGTGTTAGTAAAGATTCCCTGAGCACAGATTGCACAGAATACAGGCCTCCTGAGATCAATCCTCTGTGCTGACTTGCAGCCTCTGTTAGGAGCCCAGTTTGAACAATCCAATACAATGATGCCAATGGTTTGTTATGTGCCCTCAGGCCAAGAAAGTTCAGAAGCCAGTGCTTTAACTACACTGGAAACAAGAAGCCAGCAAGATGACTACTCAGGAAGTATCTTTAAGAAAGCCACTAACATGCAAAAAAACCTATTGTTCAGATGTGAGAAAACATAGGAAAGAGGCTCTGTCCTCTTTTTACAAAGGTGCAGAGCTAAACACACAACTGTTCAGAAATCAGATTTCTAACCCATTCCAAATTCTGATTCCTTGATATTTGCTTTCATCTTGCATTGGTATGAGGAGTCAGAACCCTGCAACAGTTCAGTTTGCAAATATCAGGATGAAACATTTCAATAACATCAACATGTTCTAGATGTCAAGGCATATTAAAATAATGAAAGAACTGAAAGGAAATTAAATTAAATAAGAAAGGCAAAATGAAACAAAACAAGAAAGTTGAAACATAACACTTTGTTTCAATTTGCAATAACTTCAGAACTTTTCTTTCCAAAACTCTATTGAAGCTGACAAGCTTTAGCAAGACATTTCCATTTCAATGAGACAGCATTTTCCAATGGAAAACTGTTTCTGAGAAGATTGCTTAACCAGTGCTAATCAAAGCTGCTATTTTCTACCCATGACAACCTTTCACTAGACTTCTACTCACATAGTCTAGAGAAAACCTTGTCTCCTGTAGCACTGCATTCCTGCAGCATGGCCAACAAATGCAAATGTCTCTGAGGATTATGCAGATGACAAGATACATATCCCTGCATTTGCCCTTCCTGTAACTTCAGGTCCCAGGCTGTAAACATGGACGAAGGCCAGTGGTCCTGAGCACACACTTGGAAAAGCAGGGGTTAGTCACTCACAGACAGATGAATCAGGTATTGGGCTACACTTAACCTACACATCTGAGAGAAGTTTCCCACAAAGGTAACAGAATACCTTTGATTCCTGTCTCAATTCTTCCTCTTTCCCAAAAAGGACATCAAGTTTCTGCAAACTGTTTTAGTGCAGTCAGCATCCACTGCAGGAACTGAAGTTTACACAGGGCAGTGCAGAGCCTGCAGAGGGCTGGGGACGGCAGCGGCAGGGAGTCGTTAAACAGAATCCAATGTTGATGAGGAAATTACACTTGTTTCATTAGTGATCGGGGAAGGCGATAGCTCAGTTCCTCTTGGTCACAGTTGAGCTCAAAAGCTCATTATCCTGCTGCATGCATGCTTTCACTCCTCGTCAATAAACACTGTTTCCAGTGGCTGCCCTCCCTCCTCCCCACGCTCCATAGCTGCGGCTCTTTCTCCTGTGCTTAACCCATGCTTTAGCAACACTATAAACAGTTTAGTGTGTCAACTCAGCAGGGAGTGAGAGAAAAGTCTTGAAATATCAGAACAATTTCTCTCCATATAGTAAAGTTATGTCATATGAAACACTTCAAAAGCAGAAATTCTCATAAAGATAGTTTTTTTCTCCTTCTTTGGGAAACAAACCAATTCCAGTGTACTCCAGAGATAAGTCAATTCAGAAGAGAAAAATCTGGACTGTGCATTGCACGGTCATCTTCACAGGTTTCACCTATTCCTTCCTAGCTAGTTGCCAATTTTCCATGCAGGATGTTTCTAGCTATGGAATTATGCTGAGTTATCATCACTAAAACAGTAGTTAGCAAGATCTCTCACACAAAATGAGGTTTTATACTGAAACTAAATGCTCCTGTGACTAAAATATCTTTGGATTATTATTTCATTTGATTCATACTCAATTTTGCACTGAGTACGTTGGTTATCACCCTGAGTACCTCTAAAAACCTTGCTGGAAAGATCCTCTTCAAGTTTAAAGCAGTGCAAATCCCCTAACTTGAACAGACTTAATTTCCACCATCTGAGAATCTGTGGTTTTGGCTTTAATACTCCAGTGAGAGGAGATTTGCAGAGATTATGTCATAATTAATTGACATTCTTTGGTAATTGTATCACAGGCATCCATCCCATCTTGCATTACCTTCTTTTCCTCTTCCGTGCTATCTAGCAGGAACTGCCAGGTGCTTCTCAAACACTTCTGTTTGAACAATTCCACCTCTGCCTTCAGGCAGACCAGAAGCTAATACCTACAGTATTCTAAGCACATAAGGCCTTTCAGATGGCCTTAATTGTCCACAGTTTGTTGATACTACATTAAATTGAGCTTATGATCAGATCATGTCATGATTTTCCATAATAGAAGCATATATGTTTAAGTTTGGAGATTTGTTATTTTGAATGCAGCACCAGACCCCTTCAGTTACCAAATACCCTGCACAGCCTTCTAAGAAACAGGGAGACTCAACTCCTTCTGCACAATAAAACTGAATGTTTTAGAAGACTCTGCACCATTCAGATCTTGGTGCAGAGCATTACTAGGTCACAAAATTTGGAAGTATTTTGGTTTGGGCCCATTTTCCTAATGTGAAAAGGGGAGCTGTAGCACAACTTGTCTTTCAGATTCAGCACAGTACCTAAAGTGCTAATCATTAGAAAAACATTTTCCAGAGCTAGAATGCAGGAAGCTTTCTCTATAATTCACTAACTAAGCATAAAAGAGAGGTTAATCATGTATGAATCACTTTTCTGACTAATACCATCATCCAGAGTAAGAAAGAAAGTGATTCATGTGTTTTCCATTTTGTTTTGTATCTAAGCACAGCCAACTCAGAGCATTTCCAAAAATGAATGATACTCTTCTTCACAATTATGCCATCACCCTCAGTACCCTAATAAAAAAAAAAAAATACATATTGCTCTCAACAGCACTGCTAGCTCCAAAGACTTTCTTGTGAGCTTGTCCCATTAACCTTCCATGCCTGCTGTCTCGATGCTACTGGAGAACCTTCAATGTTATTGATAAGAAAGCTGATAATTAAGTGCATAAAAACTTGCATATGCAGTCCTACCGCAGCTTGAGAATTGGAAGACAGAAGGCAATGAAAAAAAAAGGAAAAAAGCCACCCCACTTAAATAATTTATTTGTATTATTGAATTTGAACTGACTTCTTGATTGTGAAGATGTCAATTTTGTGATGCTTAATGGTATGGGTAAGCAACTTTGCACTGAACAGGCACAGCAGTGCCTTGAAGGGAAGAGTTCCAGTTAGACAAGGAAGCTACATGCTCCAGTTTTCCTGCTGGCAAATGGATTCAGCATGAACGCTGGTCTGATGGAACAGCAGACATTAATCTTTATTGCTTACTGCATTTCACACCTTCCTTGGTTTCTTCCAGGGAGCGAGTTCTCAGGGAATCCCTACAGCCACCCTCAGTACACGACCTACAATGAGGCCTGGCGGTTCAGCAACCCTGCATTACTAAGTGAGTACCTCTTTCCCACAGCACGCCCCCAGCCTCGTGCTCCTTCTGTTTGTCTCTTTGTTTTCTTTTCTTTGTTCTCTTTGGGTTCTTTCTTTGTTTGTTTGTTTCTGAAGAGGGGTTTCAAGTATGTGGGCAGGTGAGAGGCCTTTTTCCTCACTCTCCAGTCCAGTTTGACATGGGTATATACCTCATGCATATTTTGTACCAGTTCTGAAGTGGATTCCTCTTTCATGAGACAGTTCAGAACTCGAGTTCTGGCTCTGGCTTCTCCATGGGCTGCATCCACACTTACATCAACAAATTATATCAAAAGGTAAATTTAGGTTCTGCTACTCTTAAGCCACAACCAGCATACTTTCAAGGCCTGGTTAAAAATTCAGATAAGGTTTCACTCCTCTCCCAGGCTAAATCCAGAGTCAATTCCTAGGAAATCTTTAAATCCCATAGAATTTCTTCCTACTGGACAAAGTTGGACTAATGTCTAGAGCAGGAGACAGGCTGCATCACAAGATTTATAATAGTCAGTAGAGTTCCCATGCAGGGATATATATCCATCTCCAGTCACTGATATGCTCAGAAATAGTCAAGGGTTTTTTCAGAAGGGAAAAAAATTCCTATAAGACATTAGCTTCCAATACAACATTTCTTTGCAGGGGAATAGGAAGATATTTACTATATGTAAAATAAATCAGTTGTGATTATTACCTATGTATTTACTGAGGTTTAACAACTGGATAATAGACGCACATTTTATTCCAGTGCCATTAAAATTCAGTAAATGTGATCTTAATAATCAATCACTATGTAACACACATTCAATAACCATCTAAAGAGCTTCCATGCCAATTGTGACCCCAATCCCAATTAGTAAAATACTGTAATTTTGTTTCTTTTCTCCCCTACTGGTTTTAAAGTCACTTTGTCAGGTGCACTCAGAACATCTGGCCCTGACACTTTCTTTGTGGCTATGGATGAGGTGTGCCATATCGTGCTGCAGTGTTTGTTGTGGCTTAGCCCCAGGCATTAGCCAAGCCCCATGCAGCCACCCATTCACTCTCCCACCAGGAGGATCAGGGAGAGAATTGGAAGGATAAAAACTAGAATATTCCTGGGCTGAGACAGTTTAAAAGCAAAAGCCACACACACAAGCAAAGCAAAACAAGGAATGAATTCACTCCTTCCCATGGGAAGGCATCTCCAGGAGAGCAGAGCCCCATTATGCACAATGGTTACTTGGGAAGACAGACAGTGTCACTCCAAACATCTCTCCTTCCTCCTTCCTTCCCCGCTTTCACAGAGTGACCAGGATATTTTCTGGTCTGGAATATCCCTTTGGCCAGTTCAGGTCATCTGTCCCAGCTGTCTCTCTTTCCTTCCCATGCATCCTCAGACTCCTCACTGGTGTGGCAGCAGGAGAAGCAAAAAAGCCTTGGCTCTATGTGAGCCCTGCTCAGCAATAGCAAAAACATCTCTGTACTATCAACCCTGTGCTCAGCACAAATCCAAAACACAGCCCCTTACCAGCCACTGTGGAGAAAACTAACTCTACCCCAGCCAAAACCTGCACAAATGCTCGTGGGCTTATTCATTGATTGTCAGAGGATGCAAAAATATCTCCTTCCCGTAGAGGGGTGTCCTATCCAGAGGCCACCATAGCATCTATCGACTGAAGTATGGCCCTCAGTTGGCTTCCACTTACTGCCTTTTGCTAATCCCATTAGGAGCTCAGTCTCCAAGTTCTTCTTTTGGTTCTTTTGCTTTTCTTTCTTTCTACCTTTCTTTTTGTTTTCAGTTGTCCTTAATTTCTTTTCTTAGTTTGATTGTTTCTGTTTTTTGTTTCGTTTTGGTTTTTTTTTGTTTACTGTTTGTCCTTTCAACCAGTCCATTCTTCTCCTGTGTTAACTTTCAGGTTCCCCTTATTATTATAGTGCCACATCCCGGGGCTCCGCACCTCCCACTGCTGCCGCTGCCTATGACCGCCACTAGTTACCATGGAAACCACATGAAACTGCAGGGCGACAGCTTAGGCCTCCACATTGTACCTGTCTGATCACCTCCCTCCATCCCTGGGAAGGGTGAAGAGACCTTCTCCGTTCCTCCCCACAGTCCAGTTCCTTCCTCTTCGCCACGAAGGCGCCGGACCGAGCACTCACCACACGAGACTGAGACCCCTTCATTCCCCCTGCCCCCCGCCCCCGCGGAAACAGCCTGCGCCAAGTGGCTTCCCCTGCAGGAGCCCTCCAACACCTCTGGGTAAAGCTCAGCCATGCCAAGTCCCCTCAGCTTCCAGGACTCCAGGGCACTGGGAAGCAATGCAGCTGGCAACCATTGCCTTACAGGACCCCTTTCTGGGAGTGGTAAGGGCCAGGGAAGCAGGGGAGAACGCCGCTTGTGAAACACTGTTCCCCAAAGATATACTCTTCTGTGGTGGACTCTTTATGTAACCTGTGATGCTCACCCTCTTTCCCTGGACAGAGGGAACAGTCTGGCTAGAGCAAAGATGGCAGCACCTGGCCCATCTGGCAAATGAAGAAAGGACCAAGTAAAGATCTGCACCCCATGAGGGGTTCTCTGTGCACCTCATCCCCACTTTCCAGCATGGATTCCCCCAGAGTTGGCTGCACCTCACGGGTGGTGACTTTGCAGGCCAGAGTTGGGAGGAACCTCACACATACACCCACAATTTCTGTGACACACAATCAGCTCAGACAGGAGGATGGAGCAACATTTACAAACAAACCAACGAAATGAAGAAATATATAAATAGATATATAAATATAACTGTGTTTTTATGCTTTGTCATGAAGGTCTGTAAAAAGGAACAAAAAAATCCCCAATTTTCTAAAAAACCCAAGCAAACAAAACCAACAAAAAAACCAAAATAATAATTAAAAAACCCTACAAAAATAAAACTCCAAGTCCCATCCCTCCCCACCACCTGAATGGCAGACAGAGTTCCTCTGACGTTTGATGCTCCTCTTTCACTCTAGGGTTTTGTTTCCTTTCTGTTTTGCACTACAATGGGATGATGGTATTGGAGAGGATTGGATGCCAGCTCCACCCGGTCGCCTCCTCCTCCCCCTCCTTTCCCAAATCCTGTCTCTGGGGAGCAGTATGGACAAGTCACATCTGACAAAGTTACCAAATGCATCAGTCGACAAAAAAAAAAAAGCACTCTGAGGCAACAAACGTTTTCCATGTCACTGGTTGGCAAACAAAGAAAACAAGCCCAGCTGCGCTCTCACTGCGCTGAGTGGTGGAAAGTGTGGGGCTTCATGTGGGCCCATGTGATTGCCCTCTGGACAGCTGAGACTGAGATGGACAAATTCAGGATTGGCTGGGATAATTGCTTGGTTCCCTAGTCCTTAGCCTTCAGTCCTTTTACCTTAAACTCTGTACCTGTGATGACTTCAATTCACCCGCATCCCAACTTTTGCAATTTTAGATATGCCCAACACCCATTCTCCAGATCTCCACTGCTGGTGACAACCATGCCATTGTCTGTGCCCAACACCTAATTTTCTAACCATTACAGCCCTGCTATATGGGCCCCCCCTTTGATTCCCCACCCATCTGCTCATACACCTACTAATTTATAGGCCTCCATTCAAATCCATATGCTTGCATCCTACCAGCCAGACCCAATATACAGTCCCATCTTTTCATCTTCAATCCTGTATTGTGCACCCTAATATCTACCCCTTATCCCAAATGCTCACCTGATGATTCTCAAGGGATTCTCTGCTCATTTTGGTTCACAACTGACGGACAAACACTGTTCTGCAAAGGCTGAATGTCAACAGAAATGCTTATTATCCTGTATTGTCAGCAAACTCATAAACTGTTTCTTGCACTGACACTTCCTCAAAATTAGTCAAAGAAAACATGAAGGCAGCTATAGCCTGTCCCCAGGGCACCAAGTCTGCCAAAGTAGATCCTTGTTGTTTTAGAGAGGTTTCAGATAAAACTCATGGGCTATTGTCCATGGACAAAGACAGGATTGAGAATAAAACCCCCAAAGGGCATAAAAGTGAACAGTGGAGCAATCTCTACAGCCAACATCATGTATAAAATCCAAAGTTCCAAGCCTCTGAGGAGATGTGGTAGTGGACTTGGTATTCTGTCTCCAAGTTTAACTTGTATGTATGAAATCCACCTTCAGTAAACAGCTGTGTTGATCCCAAAGGCCCCTTTTACTTAACTTTTTCAGCCGCTGCATGGCTTTAGCTGATTATAGGTCTGTGTCTTCTTTAATGGGGTGCCCAAATGAATAAGGGTGTTTGGGGGGACATTTACATAGAAGATATAGAGCTAAAATCTGTTCCTGTACAGAATAAAATCCAAGAGGTAACTTCTGATCTATTAAAAGTGTCATTCTGCACATCTTACCTCTGAGTAACCTGCTTCATATAGCGGAGTGATTACACTATCACCACAACCAGAATTTGGCCTGTTGTCTGATCTTACTCTGTGAGAGAAGAAAATTCTGTTCAATTTCTAAACAAATGCTTTCACCACTCCTTCTGTTTTCCTTCACAGACACCAGATAGATGCTGAACCCTGTTAGAATGATCTCTCTTTTAGCCTCTCAGTACAACCTCTGCTCTACTTGTGCACCATACAGATTCACTCAGGAGGTAGTGCACAGGCAAGAAACCCCAGAATCAGCGAAGAGAAGCTCCTGAGGAAGCTAGAGAAAAGGAGTGTCACAACTCACACTTGGCCACCTGCAGCCCAGGGCCCAGGTTGAGAGAAGCCAGAAGCTCAGAAATGCTTATTTTTCTAATGGTGTTTCACTAAACTTGCGGACATGAGCTAGAGTCTGAAAGCAGAATTTAGTTGTCTCACTCATGGCTGGCTTGATTTGACTCTTGGAAGGCCAAATCTATTGCTGGTTTAACTCCACTGGTAAAAGAGGATTTCCACCAGGCATTGGATTGGTCTGGAAAGTTCATAAGTACAGCATGTAGTTTGACCAGGAAAATACAAAGAAAAGCAGAATTATGCAAAGGACTGGGCAGTCTAATCCTCTTCCACCACCATCTGTAGACCCTCATGCGAATGTACTGAATTACATTTGCCAAAGAGTTTCTTGTGTTGGTTGTTTTGATTTACAGTCGGTGGATGCATTGTAAAGCAGTATTATAGCCCAAGTCTAGTAGCTGACATGGGGATTTATGTGGTGATATTATGCAGAAGAAAACCATCAATATTCATCTAGATTCCATTAGACTGGACTATGCAGGAAACGCAAAAATTCTACCAATTATTTAATATTATGTTATTTGCAAAAAACAATTGCTGCTTTGTAGGAAGATAATGTGTGTAATGTGAAGGCAATTCCTCTTGTATATAAGTTCATCTCCATCTTCATCATGGTAGTTATTAAAACAGCCTCGTCTCATCCTGTAGATAAGGAACACGCTGTGTGTACTGTGCAAGTCTCGTTGTGCTCACTGAAAACAAAACAATGTGTTCAATAAAGCACAGCACAAACCCAGAACTTGAGGGAACAGCCAAACCTTGTAAGGACCCTTTCCTCAACAGGCCAACAGCTGCTTTGCTATAGGTAGGGGGTTTTAATTATTTTCCTTTTAAAAATGTTACAGGAAAAAGAACAAGGATTGGAGGAAGAAAACATTATGCAAAATCCAGTGAAGCCTATAACACAAACCTCTCCTCCATTCTGCTGAATTTTACCTTTCTCACATTTCTTTCTCATACTCTCTTTCCAATCAATTTCTCTTTTATTATTTTTCATTCCCAATGCGCTTTTCTATCCAGGGAGAGAAGAGCATTACTGATATAAGAACAGGTTTCTGGGATCTTAAACATCCTAGTTCTCCTTGTGGGTCTAGAAAACCTTTGTCAACTCCAACTTCCCCAAACACCTCAATTCCAACACTGTCAAATGGGAATAACAACAGTTTCTAGTTCACAGGGGGATTGCACAGCTGAATTAATTAGCACTGGCTCAGTGCTTTGAGATTCTGGATAGAAAATTATATCAAAATTTTAAGCATTATTGTGAATAATAATTAATGTTTCCATGACATTTCTGTTTTTCTTTTTCACACAAATCATTCTTTGTTTCTTTATTCTTCTTCCTTAGCTCTCCCTTCACTTCTTTTTCCTCAGGTCATTCTTAAATCTGTTGCTATGTTTGGTTTAGCTAATGGACCAAGCAGAAATGTTGTGAGACTGGGTCTCCTCCATCTCTACTCGATCATGGGGGAAGAATCTCACAAAATCTCAAATGCTGTGCTTGGCTGGAAACAACAGGGACCATGGCATTCCAAACTGGGCAGTACCTTTGAGTCCTGCCCTCTGAAGCTCTCATCCCTTTGGCCCAAAGGGATGTGGGGAGGATTGCATGAGGTGGATGCAGTAAAGCTGACACTTGTGGCCTGTAAATCTGTTGGGGAGGGTTGGTGGCAATGAGCCCTGCTGTGGAAACAGGGAGAAGTTTGCATGCTGTCTTACCCATCAGTAGTGATGAATCAAATTCAGAGTAAGACTTTGGAATTAATCACAACATAAATGTGAGGATGTTAAACAAGAAAAGGAAAGCAAAAAGCCCTGCACCTCTTTCTTCTCTTGAATATAATTTTATATATACTTATTAACATTTTCCTAAAGGAATTTTTGTTTTGCTGAACTGTTGGAAAAACTCTACCCTTTTGTCCCCAAGGAAAAGTACCCCTCTAGAAAAAGAAATAAGAATCATTGCTGAGCTGCCCCCTTTGGCACTGAGAGAGTGAGGGCTTCTGAGGGACCCACAAATACCCACAAGAGTGCTCCTTGGCTGAGCCCAGGATGGTGGTAAACTTGCAAACTAGGAAGGAGGGACCAAACCAATAATTACAGAACTGATAACAAATGTAACTGTGGAGCAGCTCTGCTGATGATCTCCAGGCTAAGCCAGATGTGAGACCAGGGAGGGAGGGGGCCAGTGCCAGGTGCAGGGTCACATCCATTCTAAGCTTCTGCAGCCCTTCTTGGCTTTTCCTCATCACTTCAGTTCTGTTTGACTCTTTTCTTTTCTCTTTTTGTGCACATGAGAAATAAAAGCAAATTTTTTTTTCTATGTCATTTTTGTGGCTTCTGGCTTGTTTCTCTTCCCCTCTCCTTCTTTCTCTCTCTTCCTCCACTCCCACAACACTTCACTCTCCAATAGATTCGCCTGGAGGTCTCTGGGAAGTTACATTTGTTGCACCTGGCACCCTTTGGGCACCGTGTAAACAACATTATGATTGTTAACATCCACCACGCTGCGTGATGGACGGCACTGCACACGCCTGCAACACCCTACAGCACAATCCAGCCTCTGAGCCCCCAGCAGCCACCACACGCTCCCGTGCATTGCCAGCAGGACTCCCTCTTCTATTGATCTCACTCAATTGATTCCCAATGATCCATAACACATCAGGTACCCCCAGGTAGTTCGAAAAATCAAAATGCTATTGGGTAGCCACAACATCAGAAAGATGTGGAGTGAAACGCAGAGCCTCCTCCCCCTTTAATCCCATTCCTCATAGCCCAACTGGGAGACTCTGTCTAGATGAACTGGGGAACAAAACCCAATGTAAAGTCATAAATTACCCATTCTCCAAGCTATTCGTCATCCACCTAACAAAAGCTGGGCATTATATTCTGGTATGCTATAAACATAACAAATACTGAGGTATTCAGTCAATTCCTCCTCAGTTAAGCATTAGTTCTCCAGGAAGTCCTGTACAGTATAAGGTCGTAGAGGTGGACTAAAAATGTAGCAAGAAGTCAGACTAGGCCAAACCCATTTTGCTCCTACAATTTTTAGTAATTATAAAATATTTTCATAACTCCTCATAAAAGCCAGTGGGCCCCATTTTCTGCCAGTGCATGTGTATCTTAAGGCAAGTCTGCCCTAAGTGCTGTCATGAAATCAAATAGTTTTGCTCATCAGAGAGTTAAATTGCCTTTTGTTTATTTTCTATTTTTCCCTTCCAGTATTAATAGCATAGGCTGAAAATCCCCCAACAAGACATTTTCTGTAAGTGAAAGTCAATTCATTGAAATCCAGACAGACTGTAAAAGCAATTCAGTTTTGACAACACTGCAGCAAAACTGCCTGGCAACTGTCCTGAAGTTGGAGGCCTCAAGTTGCCAGGGTTTGCTGCCTGCGAGAGACAGGCCTGGGATGTGATGTAGGGATAGGCTTGCACTCAAAATTGGAATAAAACTGGATTCCCCAATTCAGACACTTTTTATGCATCAGAATTCTCTTTCTCTACCAAAGTTTCAGTGATAAGAATCAAAAAGAAAATTGATAGATGAATCCTAGATGTTAAATTGACTGGAATAAAAGGAAATTATTAATGTACATTCGCTGTCAGAGGTAAAAGACAGGCTAAGAATCACCAGATAGATGTGTCAGACAAACGCAAAATGGATTTTCAAAATTCATCCTGGTAAAATAATCTTATAAGAATGATTTAGAAACTAGCATGATTATCTCATTTGTACCACAAAATACAGTCCAGAGATCTTTGCCCTGACATTCCTGTGTAAGTCTCCATAACTGGCAGTAGAACTACAGCAAAACTTTTGCAACTTTCAAGAACTTATATATCTTGCAAAAATAAATACTTGCATGAAAGAGCTATTTCCACCATTCAGACTAGTATTATGTTCCTTTAATAATTCTGCATAGTCAATGGGAGTTTTCTCAGTGTGAAAATGTTATGTGATAAAACTAAAAAGAGCACCACAGTCTGTCTCCTAATGAGGAAAATGATATTGTGAAGGTTTATACAACACTAAGTAAAGAAATCCTCTTTATGATTACTCTGACAAGAAAAATAAAGAAAAGATTGAACATTCTGAGATGATGACATCCTTCTTTAAATACATTCTTTAATAATGAGTGTAGGCAAGAAAAGATAATACACATCTGAAGGTATTCATTTAGGTAGCACATGAATATACTGGACACAAAATCAGTACTGAAAAACCATAAGAACCTGAGGAGGGGCAAAAATGGAAGAACAGCAAACATGACATCAATGGAAAGGAACAAGGAAAAAGACCATCCTGAAAGCTATAGTCTAGCAAACCTATACAATGATGTCTGTGTCCAAAGAAAAATGCTTTAAAATATTAAGGGAAGGATCCACTCGCTAAAAAAGTAGCAGTTAATGAAGATATGCCTTGTAAACAGTCTGTATATAAATTTTTCTCTTCTTTAGAAAAAAACTGGAAAAATCCTCAGGACAGTTAACTTACATGATTCAGGCCCCGTCTGCAGCGAAGTAAAGAATGTTTGTATTGTCAGCACTTCATACTTAAAAATCATGATCCAAGTACAGGCAAAAATCACAAGATACGTTAGAAATAATGTAATTTGTATATAACAACATTTTGTATATATGTATATTTATATACATGAATATAACATAAATACAAAAGAACTTTTATCTGACTTCTAGTTTCAGTGTTCTCAAGACATCTACAACTACATTATTAATGGTGCCTCTTCCTCTGTAAGAGCCAGAAATTTACTTCTAGTGAAAAGGAAGCATCTCATTGCATCACAGGGACCTTGTGGCTCAGTGCTTTTGGAAGCAGCTCAAATGTCACAAGACCTGGAAATGGCCCAGCAACTCCTGGCAAGGCTGACAGGGCTGGTCTGATACCAAAGCTTATCAAAGGCTTGGGTGTTTTCTCCTGTGTGACATTTTGGTGGAAGATGCCCTCCAAAGCCTATTTGATAGTTTCAGGTTCAACATTCTACCTGAAAATTCATTCTGTAGTAGCAGCTTGGAAAGGACTGTTTTCCACTGGCTCTTATCCATGTACCAGGAGAACCCTCTTGTGAACCTTGGCTGCTTCTTGCAAACCGTGTCTCCTGCCAGGCCCTTCTTTCAAGATCTCTTTCTATGCCTTGCCAGCTCTTCCCCAGGCACGCTGACCCCTGATGTTGCTCACAATGAGGAATACATGGACTCCCTGTAAACTCTGTTCCTCCTTCTCTCCTCCTACCCTCCCAGGTATAACCTCCCACGTGTTTCTTACACACACTGGGGAGAGCATCCAGCACCCTACACTCCATGCTCAGGTACTAGTGGCTTCTCCACACTACTCCCTTTCCCTCACACATTCAAAGCAACTTCTCTGTCCTTACTGTTTTCATTGTTCTTCACAGTCTCCTTTACTAAGGAACAGAAAGTTTCAGGAAGGAGGCAACATCTTTACTACAGGCACCCCAACTTTTTTTCTGCCATTTGTAAGCAAATGCTGACCCTCTGAAACTGCAACCTTCTGTGGCTTCTGACCATTGGGAGAAAAGCTGTAGGGGACTGTTTTGAAGGGTTTGTTTGGTTTTATTTTAAACTCAAAGAAGATAGACTTAGATTAGATTTTTAGGGAGTAATTTTGACTGTGAGGGTGATGATACGTTAGAACAGGTTGCCCAGAGAGGTTGTGGATGCCCTGTCCCAAGAAGTGCTCAAGGCCAGGCTGGATGGGGCTTGAGGAAACCTGATCTAGAGGGTGGCATCCTTGCCCACTGCAGGTGAGTTGGAGTGAGACAAAATTTAAGGTTCCTTCCAACGCAAAACATTCTACGATTCTGTAATGACTTTTAACCTGAGACTAATTTCAAACACATCCTGTTGAACATCCACAAAAGGAAGACAAACAAAATCTACACAGAAAACTCAAATAGACTGAACAGGGTGAAACTTCACACAGGTAGAGAACCTCTCTTCACAGAAGAAAGAAGCTTTTTTTTTTTTCTGTGTTAGCATCCATGAGAATCCTGTCTTAACCACAGAGCTGCATTTAGAATGTCTTTAATACACCAGCAATGGTTAGTTACACTGCCTAAATAATCAGGCAGCTTCCACATATATACTTCACAGACTCATATATGAAAGTCAAATCATCATTTTCAAGCAAATCAACCCAAAGCCCCCTATTTTCATGCTGCTTTCTCTAACATCAAGACCAGTAGTTTTTAGTGTACACTTTTAAAATCACTAGTTTTTTTTAAGAAAAATGCCTTTAATGTAACTGGGAAAGGTAAGCTTGTGGACAGAGATGGACTGTACAAGCTGTTATTCTTCTACTGCTTGCTTTTTGTTCTTACTCTTTGCTAATTGAATAAGATTGAAAATCATTTATCTAGATATGCTTATATCACGGAACATGACATAAAATCCAGGAACCCAAATTTTAACCAGTAACATCTAGCTAACAGTTAGCTGTCTGACCTATCAGGAAAGTTTATATATCCTATCTCCCATCAAAACTGAGCAGAAATAGGATAACAGCTTGCTAATGCTACCAGCTAAGTCAACCTTTTTTCTCAGGCCAATACAGTTCACAGTCAGAAAGTTCCAGACAGACTCTGCACAGAATCATTCTCCTTAAAATGTTGTGAATTGCCTGTTTGAACTTGAAAAGTCCCAGAGAAAAAAAAAAAGAGTAGTACAATAATTGAGCCAAAGCAACAAAGCAGGGTACCCAAAACTTAGTAATACTAATACAGGGAGATTGGAAAGAACTCTGCAGGCAATGTGCCAGAGGGAACAGGAGAGAAATTAAATCAACCTGTCATACTTCTTGCTCTCTAACTTGGTAGTCTATTAGTAACAGGGTAAGATTAGCAGAAGGGGTTTGCACCATCATGAACAGAAACTCCTTGTACACACCCTCATCCACCTTTGTCCAGCAACCCATTAACATCAAGCAAGTACAATATGTTAGTAGGTTAAATTTCCTAATCAACCAGGATGTGAGCATGTTATAGCTACTTAGTATTCAGTTTGCTATTTAAAAAATGATTTGGTAGAGAATCAGGCCCTCCTCGCCCTCTCTAGCTGACTCTCATCTGATTCTAATTCAATTTCTCTGCCTATTGTTTATTTCACCGCTCCCCTGTGAAGTGTCAAATGCTGATGTTCCGTCAGCCTAGAACTGTCGTTTATATTTGTCATTCAGTCCTTGTTAAAATATAAAACAGGACTGCGCCTGCCTTGGAGCGCTCTGCCTGGGAATTCCCTGTGGTAAAATTAGTCCATTTAGATGGAAAGTTTTGTGTCACTCCCCTGTCTAAATTGGCAGATCTGGCTCTTTTGCAAAAACCAATAAACTGTGAACCTTGATGCATCTGTCAATCAAACTCATCTTTCGTGAGCAAAGCCAGATGACAACAAAAGCTGGGCAGGCTCCTCCGATTGGTTCTTCTCATTTAGGCATATCAGGAGGCACCTGTCACTCCTCTGGCTCAGCATCATGCTCAGAGGGACTCGATTCCCGGAGAGATGAAGCCTTATTGGGGGCTGGGTTGGGACTGGGATGGGGAAGGAGAAAGGGGGAGTTTACCCCTCTCACTTTCAGTACAATCTGCAGCTTGGCTCCTTCCTCATAGCACTGGTGGGAGGCAAGGAACTGGCATCACCTTTTGTTCTGAAAATGCTTTTTTTCACATCTTAAGCAAGCACTTTGATTTCTTAAACTGCAGGTTTTCTGGTGGCTAAAAGGAGCTGTAAATATGACATGCTATATCCCTGGGGCTCTGGGAACTAAGCCACAATACCAGAGGAGAGACAGGACAAAATCCAAACCCCTTTTCAAAGCTGCTGTGCCACTGTGCCTATCTGGTCTGCCACTGAGGAGAAGCAGAGAAAGTATTTCTACCTCTCTGCTAGGAAAGAAGGGGTTTGCAAACTGTTTGTATTTCAAAGGAAGTATTTCATATATAAAGGCATAAAAGAGGGAATAAAATGGCAGCAAAGATCAATAGCACACTCCACCAGACTCGAGAGGAGCTGGCACTTAGGAGCTGATGATACTCTGGAAACAAACCCCAGAGAGAGCAGAACTTCATAGGACATCTCAACTTGTCCAGTTTTCACTGGAAAATTCTGAACTCTGCTGTCTGCCCCAAAAAAGGAGGCCAAATCTTTATTATTTTCTTTTGCTTTCCAAAAACTGATTTGAAATTATTTTTTTAAATGTTCTCATTTGCATACTTGCTTTAGGTTGCTATTAAATCAATCAAGGAACTTTTTCTTCCACAGAACTGTTGCTTGATGGTGGATTTATGTTGCCTCTTAGGCACCCCATCACAAACCTCATCTCAGGTACCTCCTTTTTTATTTTCTACTTTTTTTTGCTCAGAACATCTCTGCCTTCATATGTGACTTACACTGTTTGCAGGAATCATTGTAATTATCTTGGCAAGGCAGTAGCCAGTTCTCTCAAAATCAGAATACAGTACATGACTATTTCTCACAGTTACCGTGCAAGTCTCATTAAAGTTTTGTGCTTTTGCTCCAAGAAGGATATGTGATAAAAGATTGAAACCTCAGCCTTCCTAAACAGCTGTGAGTTCTTTTGGTTCTACCATCCAGTGTCAATTACAGGCTCAAAAACAAAAGACAAAAAGCCTAAAATCAAACTGCAAAAAAGCTCTTTACAACATTAAAGGTCATATCATTATTCTTACTTACTGAGTGTATGAGACTTGCCAAACTGGACATAGTACAGATTTTCATGTGAGATGAATCTGGTAAAATATTGACCAGGTGATACTAGTTAGCCTCATATACACACCTGCTGGGCTACACATATAAGGTCAAAATACAATTTGTACCTCAGTGTCTAAGGTCTTGAACAGACTGCTTTTAGCAGGCAGGTTACAGAGTACTGAGTGAATACACAAAGCAGCATAGCCACAGGCTGCAGTCTTGAAAAGGAACATTGCAAACTGTGACTATGAGCCATATTAATATCACCTACAGATCCTGAGACAATGACTCTGTCTCTCATGCACTGTATACAGTAAGACATCATTCCTGTCCTGAGCAGCCTACTTATCATTAGAGAAAACTGAAAGGGAAAGTGACTCATTCAGAACTGCTCACCTGATCATTGACAGCAAAGGAGCAACACATAAATCTCAACAGCTCTGCCAGCTGGAACCTCCTGCTCTTTATGCAGGTATGGATAAAAGCAAAGGGAACTATCATCAATTGGTCTGGGGTTTTTTTGGTTTTTTTTAACACATTCTTGTGAAAGTAAATGAAAGAAGAGATAATAAATTTTCAGCACAGGTTTTCTACCTGCTGCATCATATTCTGGCAGGGGAGTACATACATGTAATACATACAATGTCTAAGCAAATGAACTGGAAAACACTGTGACAAAAAAAGAGAAACTTTATAAGGCTGTTTTGTGGAAATAAAGTGCTAACAGAGAGCACACCAATAGGCCAAAGAATGTCCATAAAGTTTTTCAGTGTTTCGGGAGACACTCAGCCAAGATTCCAAAAGCAGCTCTCTAAAACGTAAGTCATACTCAAGGATCTAACCAAACATCACAGGTTTCCCAGAATCACCAAGAGCCCAGCACCTTCCCTGTTCACAAGCATCTTTTCTTGTTGTGGATGCATGCAGGAGTGGAATTCCTTCCATTATTTATTCCCATCACAGGACTCTGCTTTGTAGGTTCACTGCCCAACAACTGCAAGATACTGGCCAGTATTCTGAACTGCATAATCTTTTGTTATTTGGTTTCTCCTTTGTCAAAATATTCCAGAGGCTCAGTCTCTGCAGTTGTAACCAGCTCTTCTAAAGAGTTCAAATGTGAGCTAGGTATGTAAATATGTACAGTTCAGTGTTTTCACTACAAGATTTTGAAAAGTGTTTGGACACTCAGTGTTTGCACATTATACAATGAGTTTTAGCTTTTTTGAATTTTTTTGTTAAAGATCCCTGAAAACCCATCCATCATTTTCATGTCTATCTACTCACATAAATTAATTCATTTATGCTTAACTTGCTCTTCTTTGAAAGCTCTGGGGTTTAGGTTGATTAGGAAAAACTCATCCTGTTCTTCTACCAGCTAGATTACATATTCACCATTCAACTTCCTTTTGGGTTTTAGTATCAATCAAAACAAACTTAAATTATACCCCATCTCCAGCTATTTCATTGTGCTTTCCCTTCTGTCTGTATCAGCTGATCACTCTCACTAGATGTAGATATTACTGTCTGCAGCAGAAATTCTCTTGCTGCTTTGTGTTTGTACAACAGGTACCATAGTGGGCTCTTGGCCCCCTCCAGAAATCTCAAAGAGCTCCCACAAAATAAACTTTGAACAGCAAAATATTTTTGGAGAAAAGGCCACCAAATAGCATTGTTGTGAAAGATTCGGGTGATGTTGAATGTATCTTCTCCTTGGAGGTGAATTCTCTGAAATTACTTCCTGGAAATTCCTGCTCTGGGTCACAGTGCTAAATATGAAGTTTCCACCAAAAGAGGGGAGAGAGAGTGGAAACAAAACTAAAAGTATCTCAGAACAGTCTTGATTCTGGAGAGTTGTCAGTTTCTATCAATATCTCTGATATTGTCAAAAATGCCTTTCTAGTTTTGTCTTTGAGTATGGATTGCCCATTTTGACTCATTATTGTTTGTTTATTCTTGTGTTTTACATCTTCATTTGTATTTTGCTTTGATAATACAACAAAACTAAAAAAAAGAAATAACATTTTTATTTGCAGTCCCAAGATGAGTCTGAGCACAGATATCATCCATTCCCTCAGAAGAGAGGGAGACACCAGAACATTTGAGACCCATGGCGAACAGTCTGTAGGGAAAGGAAGATGTTTCCAAGGACATATTTCAGGGCTGGGCCTCATCATTTTTGTGTTCCATTCTAAGGTGACTGGAAGGCTTTTTGGAGTCTTTCCTTCTAAGTGAGTCATACATTGGCAAGGGTACTAGGTTATTTTTGTCATCTCTGAACTACAAATATTCTAATTCATGAAAATCAAAGCTTTGGTGTATCTCTTCCCTTGCATAACCACTCAGAACACAGCAAAGCTGAGGCTGGATTATTTGGTTGCTTATGCACAGAACATATTTTTTGTGCAATACGTATCTATCTGTTAACAGTGAGCACCAGAGCACACGTTAAATGGCCAACCAAAAACCCCAGAAGGCAGCTGAAAGCTTAGACTAATGATCTTGGTTTATGCTCCAGAATAGTTCCTAATTTGCCAAAACAGATACTAATTTTGAAACACCCGATGCTGCTACCACAGGAGATACATACTGACAACAATCATACAGAGGCAAGAACTTCCTTGCACTCCTTCTCTTCAGACATAAGTGTTGTGATTGCAGGTCCTCTCACTTTGTCCCATTAACCCTATTTCAAAGCACGGTAAATATGTAAGCCACTGATCATTTGGTTTGCTTAGCAAAGACAGAAAACATTTTTCCTGACACTGTTTCTCCTTTGGCACACAGAACTAGTGGGCAGTCTGTCTAATATGGCTTGCTCCTAAACTGCTCAACCTTGAAAAAAAATTCAGGATTCTAGTTTTGGTTAGCAGGGCCAAAATAATAACATACTGTTTCTGCCATCTATTCCCATTGTATTATATTTTTCCCTTAAAATGAGCTTTTGTCAACCTCTTATTTAAATGCTGAGCAAGTCACCTAAGATACAGCCCAGACTAAAGAAGCCAAAGAGAGAAGAAAATGGTCATTAGAAGGAGGAGGGGAAAGAGTTTAAAACGAAAAGCACCAGCCAGACCTCCTCCATGGAAGGCTTCATGTCCCTTGAATAAACACAGTGCTAAAGAACTCCTTCATGCGACTCTCTGTGCTGCCAAAGTAGCAGACTGATACTCACAAAAGTTTCTGCTGTGAATTCAGGCAGGACTCCAGTGTTTGAAAATACATGATATTGATAGCAACCAACTTGTACATACAATCAATTATGGTTCTCAACTTGAACAATGAGATTTTGCTTTTTTGTCCTTTCTGTACCTTTTCTTAATCTTGCAGGATGTTCACCTTTATAATGGTTAGCTCACTCAGACTCACTGGAGAGCTCCTATCAAGCTCAGTTAACAATGCAGTATTGGTACCACAAGTTACCTGTGCTGTGCTAAAAACAGAGGTTGACTCTACAAATGCCAGTGAGAATCTGTCAGTTCTGCTCCTGACTGAGCATCCACTTGGCCATGAGGTTAGTCCCCTAAATTTCATTTTACTAGCCATAAACAGAGTTGCTTAAAGACAAATTGCTAAGAAGACCACTGCCATCTTCTGCTTGAATCACAAGCACACCAGAAGACACTCGGGGATCTCTTCAAGCAACCACAATAATTCTCCCTTACAATTCACACATGAATAAAAACCTCTTGTTTCTGATTAGACCATCTTCAACTTTCTGTAAACCTCCATTCCAGATTAGTCACTGCATAAATGAGGCATAGCATTGTTATTACTTCCTCCACCAAGTATACAAGAATCTGTACATAGCTCTTCAGGGCTTCAGGCAGAAATCTTAGCTGCACAATTCACTCAAAAACTCTTCCAAATTCAAATGCTTTTCATGTCTTCAGGAATTTCTGTTCAAATTCATAATTGTGACATTTTCCTACCTTTATCTGTGCTCCACATGGTCTGTTGCTGTGCTGCTCAGGGCATTCTTTGACCTCTGCATCCCCTGGTGTCAGAAAGACTCTTAATTGGAATTCATTAAAAAGGTTCCTAAACACTCCCCAGAAGATAAGCGACAGGCTTCCTTAGTAGAACCAGACTCTGCAGGTCACAAGAACACAAGAAAAAGATGGCAATTTATTAAATTCAAAGTAGCAAATTAAAAGCTGATTAAAATTTTTCCCCACCAGTTTGTATTTTGACCAACTGAATTTGTAACCACAGGAAGTTACGAAGATTCCAGAAAATTCTTCACAGTTTTATAAACAGAAAAAAAATCCAGAGTTATGAGCACCCAACAAGCATTCTGCAGATTATCTGAGCTCACAACAAAGTGGAGGAGATTCCTCTGTCTGCCCATTGCACGATTCTACCTTCCTATAAGGAATCTGTTGAAACTACTGCTAGAGGTGGTTGACCATGCAAAACATGAGCATTTCTTACAAATCCTATACTTTTAAATACAAAGAAATACCATTAAAAGGGAGGACACAGCCTGCGACTTTGGCTTGCATTTCTAACTGTGGGGCCTGCTGAAGGAGCTGCATATTGAATAATTTTAAGTCATTTGTCTTGCTGCTTTAGCTACCTATTATATCCTGGTTAGTTCTAACTACAACCCTCTTGAAGCTTATTTTGGTTCATTTTATCTCCATTATTTTATGCAGAGTTCAGTTTTGAATGAACTGCCTCTTCAGTAACAGGAGTTTTCATCTGTATTTCGCAATGCATGAAGATTTGTATTTTTTCAGGTTTTACTCTCTCTCTTCAATTTTTAGGGGTAATTTTTAAATAAAATTGTTTGTGTTCCTGTCTCAAAGATTCAGTGTCATAGGAGAAAATATGTCTGTTTACTTCTTTAATGTGTCCTATGTCATGTTCACCTCACTGGCTCAGGACAGCTTGATCATAACCATTTTTCGCAGAAGCTTGATTTGCCTTCTGTATGCACCACTGTCAGTCAGCCCTCTGAAGTCAAAAGAGTAACATTCATGTAAACAGTGAGCAAGTGAAACTGGAATCAGGCACTGACTTTTAAGATAGCTGTTTTCAAGTTCATTGCCACAGCCACCCCAGAGGAGACTCCTATTGCACTGTGATCATCTTGTCTGGCCTCTGATATGAGATACCCATAGGGCTGCTCTGAATTAATTCCTGCTGTGGGTCCAATAACTGGAGCTGAAGTAGGAGAATCTGTTTCTGAGGAACATTTGCTACCAACTGTAAAAGTTCAAGTGCTGGAAAATACAGTGAACCCTAACTGTAATATTTTGACAGCTGATTACCTGCACTGTTGGAAATATGCACTTTTTTCTGGTTGAATTTACCTGGTATCAACTTATAGGTGCTGGAGCTTCTCAGATAGCAAATTGTGACCAAGCTATATTGCAGAGTCCTTTGCTACCAAACAATATGTCCTTCATTTTTGTTCATATTTGTAAACTGTAACACTATTAATCTTACTTCTATGGAGAAAAAAAATCCTTTTATAAATAACCTGAATTTAGACTTTACATCTGTGTATGGAGTCACCCTAAATAAGAGACTATTCTTATGTTCTTTTCTGTACACTTGCTCTTAGCACAGTAGCTTTAAATGTCTTTCTAACTGGCAAAAAACCTGGGGGCTCTACAAGACGACTGTCTTAAATCCTTTGCAGTTTTATTATGATAGCTGCTGGCTTCCTACATCTCCTCACCCAACCTACTTTGTTTTAGCGCCCTACAAGTTCTGATGCTCGTACGTTGTCCGGCAGGATGAAGGCTAGAGGCTTGACCCAACCCAGCATAAAAGCAACAATACAAAGACAACCATAAACAAGCATTTGGTCTCCTCAAAGCCCAGTCACACAGTTTTTAACAGATGAGAATTATATTTGTGTTTGCTTTTAATATGACCAAACAAAATAAAGAGAGACCGTCTACCACACATTGTTGCGTTTTAACACCCCCAGTTTGGGGCTTGCCACTCAAATTCAGTTCTGTCTCCAAGCTGTTTATGATATGGACACTCATTTTGACAGGTGGACTGATGAAATCTTGAGTCCCAAGATGGCTGAAGGCTGGTAAACTGAGCCACAGTGCTCCAAAACCAAGGCATGTCCAACTAGCCGGCAGCTAAAGGCTCTGGATGGCTGTTCCAGAAATGCTGAGCTCTGACTTAATGCTGCCTGCAATGAGATGAGCAGGAATGCTGCTGGTAATTCTTCCACTGATCTCAGCATTGAGTTATTTTGATACATCCCACTTACAGGGGAGAGAAGTCCATGGGAGGAGGCTGAGGTCAAGATAAAGATGATGAAGCTGGTTCTCTACCCATGCATACAACCAACATTTCACAGACCTATCTCTCCCTGACCAAGTCTGTAACACATCTCTTTAGGACACTAAAGATTCCTAGAAGATACATAATTTAAAAATTCATTTAATGTTTATGCACATACTTTTGTTGCACCCAAATTGAATTTCTTTCTGTCTTTGGTAGGTTTTAACATTATCCATGCTGTAGCACATGCATGTGCATGCACACCCACTCTTCTGCATTCAGAAGTTGTGAAGTCAAAAGCAGTAAAATGATCAGATACATTGCTCTGATTAAAAACTGAATCCCTATGTGAGAGTCACGACATTTTAATGAAAATGTAACAGTGATGTAATTTTAATTACATTGGAAAGCCCTGCATTGTCTCAATTGCGGACAATGTGAAATTATATAACCTGGGATCATCAGTGGCATATATAGGACCAGGCACCCCTTTACGACTCATACAGAGACAAAACTAGGAACGCAAATCACAGAATTTGTTTTGCAAGATGTGATGCCTTCTTGGACATCCCTGACAATGAAAGACACCAATGACTCCCAAGGTGCCAGACATCACTCAGTATCTACTGAAACTGTATTTGGGCACCCATCAGATTTTTGAGGGTTAACCAGATGTGTCCCTAACTTCCCAGTCACTTTGTTATGGGGGAGAAATAGAGATGTAAGCATTACAGGTGGAAGCTTGTGGCTGAGCCCCAAAGCCACCACAGAACAACTATGAGCTTTTATTGTTGGGGTTTTTTTCTTCCTTTTTTTTCCTCCCAAGTCATGGTGCTATTTGTGGAAAAGCAGCACTATGACTCCCACTATGAGAGATGTGGCACTCCCTTCCTCTCCCAATCCTCCTTGTGCATTATCCATTGCACTGAGTTGTAAGGAAGAGTTTCAAAAAGGAACAGAATTTTCTTGTATTTCATTTTATTTTTTAAGCAATCTCTTCCTCCACCTCTTCTTTCTTCTACTCCTCCTCTTCTTCATCCTCCCACCCACCCCCATCCTGTCCATCTCCCCTCATCCTACTCACACACCACTCCCCCCCTTTACCGGTATCCAACACTGTCAACCCAAACACATGATAAATTGCCCTGTCAACAGAATTCATTCAGGGACCAATTAATTCCACAGAAATGAACCAGGAGCCATCAGTTGCTGAAAAACTCCAAGTGCAGGGAGCGAGGAAGCTAGCTTTGTGTGTGTGTGTGTGAGAGAGAGAGAGAGGCTTGGGAAGTTAGTCTGACAGAAATTGGTCATTTAATGCTTAAGTGCACTGTAGACAGCCCTGTCATAGCAGCCGGCATGGCAAAAACTCCCCCAGTGCTTTATTTATTAATTATGTGGAGCAGCACGGGGGTCACTTCACTGTCTCAATACAGACTCATCAACTTTACTTCTTGTCACTGGGAGAGATCCCACAGCATGTGAGATAGAGGGCCAGGCCTTTTTCTGGCTCTGTCTCTTGCCACCCTGCTACAATACAGCATAGAAGCAAGTTTGGAAGAGGACCACTTGTGCCCTCAGTGAGAGTGGGCAGCGGCAGATGGGGACACAAGGACATCCAGAGGTAGAAGGCAAACCATTATCCTGCTGCTGCCCAGCTCTAGAGCAGGGATGGTGGGAGCCTGGAGATTTCATTTGCAAAGCTTCCTCATTATCCTCCTTCAAACTCTCCTTAGCCATGATGCCTGCAAAAATCTGACAGCAGTTAGGCTGCTGATGTATTATGAGTACTGCCTATCCTGCTGATCAATAGTGTCTCATTGCTCCTTGCTGTATTCCCCCAGCTGTCCGTACTAGCCATTGCCTCTTGGCTCATATTTGAAAGCTCTCTGAGGGCAAGACCATCCTTCTCTCACACACAAGTACAGCACCAGGCAATGCCTGATCTCTGAGAAGTCCTCCTCAAATGGTAGTAACAGAAAGAATAATAACAGCAGTTATTATTATAATAATAACAACAGTTATTATAAAAACACAATTCTATCCTTTCACAGAATTACAGAAAATAAGGCTGAAGTTGGCCTTAGGAGATTGATAAGACCATGCCTTTGCCAAGACAGGTTCAACCACCGTTAAAGTACTAAACCTTTTTGTCTGGCCAAACAAATCTTATCAACAAAAAAGGCTATACAACCTCCCAATACAGTCCTCCTCCGTGCTCCACCACCCCATTTTGCTCTTCACCCTGCACGTGGCTTTAGAGTTTGAAAACATCAATTCCCTCACAAAAAAAAAACCATCAAGCCAGGTCCTGAAATGTATCTCCACCTTTAAGTAAGAGACAGACATGTCTCTACCACATGGTATAGATTTACAGATGATGCATGGACTGCTCTTTAATATTTTCTTGCCTGCTTATAAAACAACAGGATGCATTCTAGTTTAATCTAACAGAACATGAATTTTCCAACTGGGTCAGTAGAACCAAATTTTCATCTTCCATTAGACAGCTTAAAAACATGAAGAAATCCTGGGAGTGGTGATACTGCACTAGCATTGCAGATTTTAGACCTCTCACTAGTAGCTCTGCTCTTTCAAGTCCCCCACTGAAGAAGAAACAACTTTTCCTTCACATTTGATGTCCAGTGAAGAACTGCACTGTTGGACCCTTCCAGCTGACTCTGAGATTAGTTCAGCTGATTAGAGTAAGGTGCTAATAATGCCATGGTTGTGGCTTCAATCTCTATACGGGCCATTCGCTCAAGAGTTGGACTCCATGATCATTGTGAGCCCCTTCCAAGTCAGACTGTTCTGCCATATTATTTCATCTGATGCCTGAA